GTTGCCTAGGTAATTAAACTGCTGGACTGATTTGAGCTCTGATTGGCCAATGGTGATATGGGGATGATGGAAGACTTCCTGAGGAGCAGGTTGATAGAGAACTTTTGTGTTCTTTAAGCTGACTTCCAGCCCAAAGAGCTCAGCAGCATCTGCAAAGCAGGATGTTAAATGCTGCAGAGCTGCTTCTGTGTGGGCCACAAGGGCGGCGTCATCAGCATAAAGCAGCTCCCGGACAAGATGGTTTAAGGTCTTAGTGTGGGCCTTCAGTCGCCTTAGGTTGAATAGGCTTCCATCAGTACGATATCGAATGTAGATACTGTCCTGATCCTCGAGGTCTGCCGTGGCCCTTTAGAGCATCATGCTGAAAAAGATTGTGAATAGAGTTGGTGCAAGAACACAGCCTTGTTTCAAACCATTGGTAATTAGAAAGGGCTCAGAAAGTGCATCACCATATCTGACTTGGCCGTGCTGATCTTCATGAAGTGAGATGATCATTTTAAGGAACTTGGGGGGACATCCTAAACGCTCCAAAATCTGCCATAGACCTTTTCTGCTCACAGTATCGAAAGTCTTGGTGAGATCAACAAAGGTTACACAGAGACCTTTATTCTGTTCCCTACACTTCTCTTGCAGTTGTCTGAGAACAAATACCATGTCTGTGGTACTCCTGTTGGCTCTGAAACCACATTGGCTTTCAGGTAGAATTCCTTCTGCTATAGCGGGTATTAATCTGTTCAAAAGTATTCTTGCCAGGATTTTGCCAGCAAGGGAGAGCAGAGTAATACCACGGTAATTTGAACAGTCTGATTTAACTCCTTTTTTCTTATACAAAGTGATCATCATGTAGTTTATATGACAAAATGAAAATGTTACCTTTTCCTGAAGTTCAGTGTTAATGGACTTCTAATAAAGGAAATGGTTGCAATGTACTAGTAATACTGTAGTCTTGCAAGTCATACCCATGTGCTTTTGACTTCACTAGCATAAGTAATTATATGAAAATCAGCAGGTTGATGATAATGTTGGTTTTAAGCTTTTTGTAGGTTTTACACCATCAGAACCTCAGGTAGCTTTCAGGCACTTCTTAAGGCTCACATCATTTGTTTGTTCATTTTTTGCACGTTCTTTGGTGGTCACAGGCCGTGAAAAACAAGCTTTTTTGGACATGGCTTATAGCAGATCAAAAGACAGTTACTTAATTTATATAGGGTGTAATAGCATGTTTTAAGTGTTGATTGTAGCAGGAAGTGGATTTTTATTTGTTTTGTTTACATTTCTAATTTGTATATTACATGTTTTTTAGTTGTTCCTTGTAATGCCAAATGCCTTCCAGATAAAAAGAACAGGTCTTTGCTCTGTCATGTCATTAAGCTGAATTGATGTGCATGTTGTCATTGTATTCACACTTACCTAGTGGCCTCTTGTAGCCTGACACCAAGATTAAGTCCTTAAGCCCTTTGCCTACATTGTTTACATATTGTTTGCTCCAGACCAGGAGGGACTGACATATTCCATCTGTGTGATAAATTAAATTCATATGCAGCATGGTTGAAGGGCAGACCAGTTAGGGTAAGTTACTGCTTCCTCCCCCCATAGTATTGTTGTTGTTGTATTATTTATATGAAAATATCTAGTTGGACAACATAAACAAAAGCAGATATTTGTGTATGTAAGAACAAGGTATTAAAAAAACCACTAATCGGGTCATGTAAGAGAGAAGCTGAGACTCTAAGCTCCTATAGATTGACTCTTGAGATAATGAACACCAAAACACACATATTTCTCAAATAAGGTACAGTGTTTATGTACCAGTTACTGATTTTTCATTTTGTTGTCTAATGATGCCTCTAAACCAAGCATTAAATAGCGAAGTACATTAAATAACAAATTTGTCCTCCAGCCAGAATTGGAGGTCTGTGCTCTGTCTCATAACTCTGCACTGCAGAAATGAGTCTCCAGACTTTCAAACTGAGGTGCCTTGAGGCTCCTTCCAGCTATAGGTTACACAGCTATAAGTTTTTCTTATTTTTTCCCCACAGTTTAGCTCAATATTTCTGAGAGAGAACTGTAGAACTTTTACTGGAGTGAAACCACTTCTTGCACTTGCAAGAGAGATTAATTTTTATTTCGTTGGTAAAGTGTGCTGTTCAGGACTAAACCCACAGTTTTAATCACTGTGTACTTGTTTAGCTTTCAGTCAGTCTTTGCTAATACTGACTTTGGGGTGACTTGTCAAACTAATTCCTCTGTTAAATAGGAGTTTGCTTTTCCTGTGACTTTCATTACTTTGCTTTGGGAAACAAAACCTCAGGGGGAAAAAAACGCTCAGAGTCTAGGGAAAAAAACCTGAAAGTCTGTGTTCAGGACTATCCCAGCCTGTTACTGCTCCCGATGTGTCAAGGCTAAGACTTCTGTTTGAAAATCAAAATACCTAAATTACTGTTCTCTTTCTCATTTTTTAATGCAATATGATGTTACTGTAAACTAAACATTGTTGTCAGGCATGAGTCTTTAATTATGTCAGCCCAGTTTTGAGCTCGCAAACCAGCATAACAATTTTAATAAGATTATTAAATAATGCAGTGAAGGTTAACCTGTTTCCTTGAGGGAGGGGAAGGACCGAGTCTTAGAAATGCTGGTTAAGTCTGTGTCAATGTATAAGTACATAATTGTCCTTACAGAAATTGTGAAAAACTGGAGAAAAGGTGCGGATTTACCAGTAGATATAGATTTATCTGAACTTAGACCACCAGATCATTTGGGTAATTACTGTTTATGAAAATTATATAGCTTGTGTTCCTAAGTATTGGGAGTCATGAGGCTAAATTATAGCTGTGGTTAAAATACACAGTAATTACAATGTGTTATGTGAATTTTATGAATGAGGAGAGGGCTTTTTGTTGTGGTTTTTTTTTCTCACCAAAGTAAATGACATTCTCACAAGGACATTTTTATCTTGATTTTTCTGTTCTGTTTGATGTATCTATAAATACAAGACTGATATGCATTAACATTAATCCCTGTGACTTTCTTCAGATTCATAAACCATCTTAAACTTGCTCGGCAGCATACTAAATGCTCAAAGCAGAAAGATAAGAAATTCCTAATTCTCCTGGTTTATTTATTTACAGTTATGTTAGCAAACAAATATTATAAATGGTTTAGTTCATCCCCTTCTCTTCACCTAGAAACTTTGTGCTCCTGGCTTTTGACTCTTGCTGTGGAAGTAGGAGTTCCAGTCACCTCTCCCCGATGTCACTCACACTAAGGCACACAAAGTTCATCACTTCTGTGCTTGGATGTAATTAATCATCCTGCTCATTAATAACCTTAATCTTTGACCTTAAAAGACTAATTTTCCTCTTATGAATTTGGTCTTCTTGAAATAATAACTAAAAAGCAAACTATCGTCTTCTTCCCTGTCTGGGTAGGGGCAATAACATTTCCTTTTTGGTTTGCATTATGCAGAATAGAGCTTTCTCCTTGTGCTTGACAGAGCTCAGTGATAACATTTGGAGAGAAGTTTAAGGTCCTAGGTAGTTTTGCAATTCGCTATGTTTTCTGTAAAATTTCCCCCCTTTATATAGGCAACAGTGTAACTTTTTAAACAAGCACAAAAACAGCTTCAGTAGGAACTTTTTTGGCAGAAAGCATAATTAATGGTGAACATTGTCTTCGTTTCTCTGAACTAAAATGGCATAATGCACACTCTTTTTTTGAAAAGCTGTGAGAAGAAGCCTGACATGTTGAAATAGCAAGAGGCTGATCCCTTCCATTCAGGTATATGCAATTCAGTGTATTTGGTAGTAAAATTATTGTAGCCATTTTTGTAGAAGGTGGGTCTTTAGAGATTGTACTGGTTTTGAGTGCTTAGAGCACTGTGCAAATACTCCACGAAGAAGTGTCCTTGGAAGAAGCTGCTGGGTGTATAAAGAGCCTCTTTCAAAGCTTAGCGTTCCAGGTGTGCTCAATTATTAAGTGGTGTACATTCACACACCAAATGGATTGATCCCTTGCCAGAGACTTAAGAGCACCTTTTCTGTTTTCTCAAATGCCTATGTTTAGTGGGAGTTACACTGAAACTACCGTAAGCGCCGCATATACCTGGAATATTACAGAGTCTGGCTCCAAGGTGGACCTTACCCTCTGGATAGACAAGGTGCCTGCAGAGAGGAGAGGACAGGGCAATGTCAGTGTTAGTGCTCTCAGTACAGTGGAATGGAGTTGACTAGAAGCGCTAAAGGGGAGGCAAAACAAATGCCTTTGAGGGATGGAGCAAAGGTGGTGTGAGAGCCATGGCAAAGCAGAAGACTTCCAAGGATTGTAAGGCCGGAGGAAAAGGTGAGAGTAGGAGACAGCTGTTGCTGGGGAAGAGCATCCTTCAGCCAAGACTAGAAGTTTCTGTTGAGATCTTTGCCTGGGTTGCTTCTTGATCAATTCCTGCAAATCTAATTTTAGAGTGGTTAGGTTTTGCAGTTTTACACCAAAGCTGTGAGTCAATGGCTTAGGAGAAAGGATACTTTTTCCACTTGCTAAGTTACCCAGTATCTGTAGGAGAGACCCTTCCCCAGATCTGAGGCAGCAAGAAGGGACCCTGCCAGCTGTGTCAGGTCTTTCCTCTTTTCCTCACATGGCAGTGCCCAATTCTTGCTTCAGTTCCTGTTGGGGCAGCTCCTGTTGGCTCCTACCTGATGACTTTTTCTTCATTAAAGAAAAGGCTTGTTGCCTTTCCGCAGGGGGAGGTGGCACGCAGGTGGACCTAATGTGTAATTAAGCACGTCTTAAAAGCACTTAGAGAGTCTTCTGAGTAAGAAGTGTTCCGATAAGCGAAAGAGTGTGGTTTCCAAATCCCTTATTTCGCATTTGATTTATTTACCTTTTTTGGTTTTTCAACTGTCTTTCTGCAATTTTGAATTTTCCATGTGATCGCCGTGCCTTTACATGAACTGAGGGCCGCATGTCTTGCAGAGCGGTGAACGCTGTTTCTGATTCTCTTTCAGATGCAAGTATGGACATAATAGCCTATGATGATTACTCCAGTCCACCGCTTCAGAGATATTGAAAGGACACCAGAATACCTCCAGCCGGAAAAGTGTGTTCCACCTCCTAGCCGCGCTTCCCTGGGAACAATGTGGTTTATTCGAGATGGCTGTGGTATTGCATGTGCTGTCGTTACCTGGATGCTGGTGTTCTATGCCGACTTTGTAGTCCTTCTTGTCATGCTAGTTCCATCGAGAGATTATGTTTATAGTGTCATCAATGGCACACTGTTCAACACCTTGGCTTTCCTCGCTTTGGCTTCACATTTTCGTGCTATGCTGACAGATCCAGTAAGTATACCTCTCTCTGTGTGTCTCGGAAAGAAACAGGCGGTGTTTTTCTTGTCTGCTAGATGTTGGGTAACTCACTTGCTGAGTGAGTGGCAGATTTAAATAATCTTCCGTGTGTCAGCCTGCTGAGTGAGGCTGCTGATGTGGTATGCTAATTTTTCATCCCACTCAAGTCAGAGGCAAAGTCAAGGACCCAGCTTTAGATTCCCAGTGTGTGAGCAGCTCCTCTTTTTACTGGGAAGGAGAATGTTTCTCTCTGACACTGTTTTCTCCCCAATGGCAGATCTCGTGTTTGTGGCTTGTCATGTCTTGACAAACAGTAAAGCTGGAAAAGCTGGTTTTAGTTGTCTGCCTTGGCAAGTATTGCTTCAGCAGAATGGAGCAGAATGTGCGTTGTTTTGAAAAGCCATGTTACCATCTCTCGTTCTCCTGATTTTGTTGAGTGTATTGGACAATGCTGAAATAAATATTGTGTGAGTGTGCTAAGAGCTGTTAGGCAAGTTGGGAAGCGTCTGAGTTGTAAGACTTCCTTGCGTGTATCCACAGGACATTGCTCAGAGAGATCTGATCTGCTGCTTTGTCATCTTTCAGCTAGTGAGAAGATACGTTTTAGCAACATGAGGCTAATTCTGAGTGGCCTGTGATGGTTTATTTGCTTAATAACCCCTGGACAGTAGATTCAATTCAAAAACCCATCTCCAATCGTCAGTGGAAGGAAAGACACGCTTAGATTTCTCTTGTCCCCTTCCTCACAAGCGTTCTTGTTGCTGTTGGGAGTGGTAGTGTACCTCTGATATTCTCTCCCTTCCAAATGTCATTTCCTACTTCAAACCTTGTTAAGGTGCCATTAAGACTTCAGAACAATCTTTGCTTCTTAGATTCCAGTTCTTCCAGAAGCCACAACAGTGCAGAAATGGCTTGATTTGGGGTAATCTCACAATTTATAGTAAAGACGGTTGAATTGCACACTGCTGCTGGGCAGAACTGTAAGCAATAGTTTATGCTCTGAAACTTCTGGTCATTGGACTGGGCTGCAGCAGTTTGTTAGATAGTTTGTGTCCTAAGGGTGGTGGTTGTAATTATTGTATGTTGTGTGGCTTTTATGCCTAGGGACCTTCAAGTTGCTGGAACTATTTTGCAGAGTTACTAGAAACTCTTCTGAAACAAAAGCTGTATTTTGAAACAGGCTGCATTGGAGAAGCAGATACAATCTCTATTGAGAGTCATTAGGAAAAGATATGTTAATTCCTAGTGTGAGGTAGGATTTATGTGTGTGGAGGGCAAGAGCCAGTGGGATTTTGTTTCATTTTTTTAATGAGGAATTCAGCTAAATAAAATGCAGAAGGGAAGATACAGAGAAAGGATGCAGCAACATCTGGCAGACAGTGTGAGTCAGGGATTAAGGAAGCTGCCAGGACATGGGGAGCCAGGGGCATGTCTAGGATCAGAATGAAACAGAAATCACTGCTGAGGCAAACAAACAAAATTCTTACTATAAATAAATGAACACCTGAGTTCTTCAGAATTGATAGCGTGTGTCTCACATTTCAGGAACTGCTTCTTGCTAAAACATTCCTAAGGTTTTGAGCTTTGCTGAGTGTTGAAGAGAGAGAACATGAGTTGTAGCATTTTAGGGAAGTTGGTTTGGTAATTGTTTTAATTGGTCAGTCCTGTTGGGAGTTTTTGTGGAAAAAACTATTGCTCTAGAAAGCCTTATAATACTGGTTCAATATGCAGTTCTCTCACTAATGTGTATCTTTCCTGTGTATTGCTGTTAGAACATTGTATAGATATGTTAAAAAGAGACTGTTCTGTCAGAAATCTGTCAAAATATTGCTTCATCATCACATCAATATTTCAATATACATCATTTATTTCAATAACAAAGCCTTAAATTAAGTTAATTGTACCAATGTACCAGCAGTGATTTCATACAGTATGTTTCATGACTTTTTTTTGAGGAGAGGGAGTTTCTTTGATACAGTTTTTTTGAGCAGAAAAGACTGGAAACTCATGAACTTGGGCTCCTGCAGCAGCAATATGTTACCTATTTAAAGACAGCTAAGAATGTTTTACCTAGTCTTATTCAGGTGGGAAGATTTTTAGTGTTCATAGTTTGAATGTTAGGCCCTAATTTAAATAACAAATACACAGTGGAAGCATAAATATAAATACATGAGGTGTTTACCAGCAACTCTTAGTGTACAAAATGATACTTCAGGAAGTAGTTGTTTGTACTGGAATAAAACATCTGCTCTTTCCAATTTGTGATACAAAACACTGGCATGATAAATTTGTTGATGTGAAAAGAGGGGGGAGGATTCTTTAATATTTTAAGCTTATGATAGGATTACAAAAGAATAATTGCTTAAGTGAGGATTTATTGATGTTTAAAAAACTCAAAAACCCCCACCAGAATGATGTTTAAGTATGTGGTTCCATATTTTAGTACCACATTTTAATTTCTTTTCTGAATCTTCTTGCAACTCTGTTGATCTTTAGGGAAGTTTTTATTTCTTTCTTTTTCCTCCCCTCCCATAGTTTTAAGTGATCCTGTTGTTCTTAGCAGTTGTAATGTCCACAGGTTAATCTTCTGGTTTATTTTTTTTCCTGCAGGGTGCTGTACCCAAAGGTAATGCCACAAAAGAGTTTATTGAGAGTTTGCAGCTAAAGCCAGGCCAGGTGGTTTACAAGTGCCCAAAGTGTTGTAGCATCAAACCTGACAGAGCACATCACTGCAGGTAAAGTCTTTTCTGAAGACAGCTGTATTATCAAGACCTCAAGAATTATTCACCAGTGTGCCTTGATCTAAATTGTTATTGGAGTCTAAGACTGGAGTGGGTAAATTGAGAGACTGGTATCTGAATTCTGTTGCCAATAGTGCCAGACACATTTAAGTTTCTCTGAAAAAAATCTCAGGCCTTTCCTAACAAATTTTTATCTGTTGGAGACTGGAGCCACTTCTTGCAAAGTGAGAAACACTTAAAATGAGTGCTACCTTGGCTCCAGCCTTGTAATTGACATTCCGTAAATTTTCACGTAAATGTGATTTAAAAAGAGACATTATATACCAGAATGCATAGAAATCTAAAAAATGTAATGTCTCTCAGAGGGTCAGGGTCTTTTCCATTTTTATTTTTATTCACAAACCCATTTGTCTAACTGTGTATTCTATTTAGAAGTGATATTTAAGTTAAAACTAAAGTACGGATAACTGTATATATTTTTTAAGAGCTCAGACTTCCACATTTTTATTGAGTACTGTGACTTTGTGTTGTGCTGTGGGATAGATCAGTATGCCTACTGATCTGTCATGTCCTTTCTTTTTCTGGTAGGATAAACTTCCCGGAAGAGAGTAACTGGTAGTGAGCTTTTTAGTACTAAAGGCAGTGAGCAAAAAAATAACTACTTCCTAAAATTCTCTTCTGCTTTTAAAGCAAGCGAACCTGCTTTCCAGTAAGTAGTTAATGAGTTTGCACTGCTGTCACTTCCTTACCTCCTCAAAACCCAGTACGTACCAAGAGAGCTTGTACCAGGATTACTGCTGATTTGTGCAGTGGTCTTGTGGGGAGGGGAATACATGGTAATGAGCTGAACAAACTTGTTCTACTGTTTGCATTTTTCATACTTACTTTCAGAGCTTTAGTTTGCAAATGTTTTTCTTTTTTGTTGTTTTTTTATTTTAATCAAAATCAGGAGTTGGTTATTCATCAGGAGCAATGTGATCATGCCTATCACTTATTAATGCTACTGTAAAATCCCCTCTGACAGCTCTTCAATTATGAATGAAACTTCACATCTAAAATGCTGTCTTGGTGATGACTCACAGCATAGGTAAATGAAGACAACTCTGGCTAAACACAAAACCTCATCACTGTGATCCTTTTTTCTATGCTTTAAGATAAGTTTTTAGACATTAAGATTTGGGAAACATCCACTGAACACTGATGCTGTTGAGAATCTTCAGTCAAAAGGTTTTCTATGAACTAGGAAGATTTATTAGACTTTAACACATCAAGGTTGTGCATATGCATCAGCAGGAGATATTGCTAGTGGTATGCCAGAGGGACCAGGATGTTTTTTGTTTCATGTTCTATTTAGTGAGTCCCCTATGCCCAGTAAGCTAGTCCTGCCGGCATTTGGAAGCTGGGTGGTCAAACGGGGAGAGTGTCTGAGTATGGGTAATCCCTGCTGCCTGTACTTTTCAGTCATGGTTTCTATGTTTCTTTTTCCACCAGCTAGTTTCCTGTTCTGCTTGTCATCCAACTGCTTTTGGTATGTGTACAGGGAATAAAACCTCTCCTCTCAGCCTTAGCTACCTCTTCCACATCTGTGGCTTGGCTGCTTCAGGTTGTCTCTCTGGGGACCTAGGAGCAGTTGAAGGGATTGCTTGGGTACTCCCCTGTTTCAGAGTCCAAGGGAAGTGTGTGCACATCTGCAGACAAGGAGGCATCCTCCTCCTTTACACCACCTGCCCCACCTTCCCCCCTCCTTTTTTTTTAAATTTTTTTAAAGCAGTGGTTGATCATTATCATATGAAGTACATTATCTGGCAGATAAATTGTTTTTACTGTGCCAGCTGATTGCAGTCCCCATGTAGCTCAAAAATAATTTCAAGCTGCTTGTTCTGGCAAAAAGAGACTTTTCCCGTTTTCCACTGCACCTGGGGCTGGAAGGTAATGGGGTACTTGAGCACACCTGAGGAGAAACATCTCCTGATCTGTCCCCATGCTGAGACGCCAGGGCCTGCCTGCCTGACCTTTCATTTAGGATTGGGGTTATAGCAACTTGTTTGTTTTTCAGGCATGCAAGTATCCTTGGGGATTACTCCCTCCCACCACGTAGAGTGAGTGAAAGGCTGTTCTGATAGAGAGGTTTTCTATTATTTATTCATACGTGCAGATAAGAACATGTTTTTGTTTGAGTTTCCCTTAAGCGTTTGGGTGTTGAAGTTTATTGTTTATATTAAGGTCAAAATACTTTTTGTTATAAGAAGAAAAATAAAATTAGCAGAGCACTCAATCCTTTCTGTTTCAGGGCTGCCAGAATTGTTCTGGAATGGCTGTTTCCTTTCTGGGTCTATTGTTTGTTTGCTTTGGGGTTTTGTGTTTTTTCATATTTGATTTCTGTGCTTGTTTGTGCAATGTGGTATCAGGAGACTGCCTTTCGTCTCCTATCATATGAGAAAAGCAGCAGAGAAAAAGACTTCCTTTATTATGTGAATTGAAGCAGTTACTGACTAAGCAAGAGAATGATGTTCAGACAAAGTAATAATGTTTTAATTATTTGACTTCTGGCCACAATGTGCACACTGGCAAGAATTTGAATTTTGATTTTATTAGCCTGGTTTTGTGAAGTGCTTTAACATCTAATTTCACCTTGAATGTGTATTGTGGTACTGTCTTCCTGACTGACTGCCACAGCTATTTTATATTAGTATGTGGCTAACCATGATGTCAAGAATCTTTTCTAGTGCCTTATTTAACTTCCTTTTCTGCAAGTTCCTGCTGCCAGCAAATGTTGGTAAATAAACCGTAGTCTGTAATTAGCAACTCTGAAGAATATCTTTATTCATTACTGCTTTTTGTATCTTTCTGGTTTCTCTTTGGTTTTAATTTGTGGACATTTTCACAGACGAAATAGGTTAAAACTAAACAAAATCACAGATTTTTTTCCGTCTGCCCAAATGTATTGTTCAAATATTTTTTATATATTTTTGACAGAATGACTGATAACGTGGCATTAATTTTTGCAGTGGTGATTTGGTATTGCGTGGTTCACGTTTAACAGACTTAGTCAAGATAGAAAACCACAAACATAAATAAGGTGACAAGTAAATTTTTTAAGATTCAGATTTCACTTCTGATTCTTTTCTTTAGTTTCATTGTGCCCCAAACCCCAGTGAAATCTTGTGTTCCTGGAATGAAAAGTGCTGTTAATAAAGACCTCTGTTCTTTCAGTGTTTGCAAGAGGTGTATTCGGAAAATGGACCATCACTGCCCATGGGTCAATAACTGTGTAGGAGAGAATAACCAGAAGTACTTTGTACTGTTTACAGTAAGTATTTTGCAAGTGATGCTTGAGGTTGTCCAGTGGGAAGCGCTGAAATGCAGCGTGTAGCCTGTGAGGCAGCTCCCAAGGCTGGCTTTCTCTTCCTTCCTGTTTTGGAAGAACTTTACAGGGAGCTGCTGCAGACTTCTGTTTCGCTAGTTAGAGAACACACCCACCCACCCACACAGACCCATCCACCCACAGCAATGGGAAAAAACATCATGGGAAGTATTTTCCAGGGATTTTTGAGGTTTCTTTTGATAGTTGTTGAGCATCTATATTGTAATGGGAGTAGTTTATTGTGGCATTGAGCTCTTTGATGCATGGGCTGTCCTTTTACTATGGCTGATAGGGTCCCAGGCCATATATAGGGCTCCTAAGCATTATGGTTGTATGAGTACCTGTGTGGGATCATGTAATAAGAGCTGTTGCTACATCTTAAGTGAGGAGTGGGAAGTCTGCATCCCCTTTGGCAAGAATTATCCACCTTTTAATTGCAAAGGGTTTATTTTTGTACTTGAAAACCAAGGAGGTGTTTGACTTTTTGTACTATATCTGTAGCATGAGTAAGAAAACAGCAGTGCACACTTGAATACTGCATATTTCTGGAAGGGTTGAAATGTGTTTCATCAGAGCAAACTGCGAATATCCCGTGGGAGTAGTGTGAACATTACAAGGCTGACTTTCAGTGATGCTCTGTTTATTAATAAATCTTTTGAGACATCTGCAGGTTTGAGGAAGACTGTTCTCATATTACCAAGTAACAAGGGGGAGATTTTCAGTTAAATGGAAAGGCTTAGTGTTCTGTGGTGTGGTTTGCTAGGATGTGGATTACAGAACAAAATTAATCCTGTTTCTTTCCTTTGAGCAAGGTTGTTTTTTCACCTTGAGCGAGCTAGGTGTTTTAGTCCTATCAAAAGGATTTCAGTTTCTATTAGAACTTGACATCTACTTTCAAGCAGACTATATTAAACACTTAATGTAGTTGAGAGAAACAAACTAAGGGTTGCTGGTTTTGTTCTTGGATATGCTTTTTGAGACCTGAGGAAGTGAAAGAACGGCAGCATACTGAACTGGAAAAAAAATACTCCCCTATTGCCTTTTACTGCTTCCACAGGGATTTCTTTTAACAAAATCTCTCTCACTTGTAGTATCTGCTGACCTTTGTCAGAGTTTGTACGTTCAGGAGAGTCATATTTTTAGCCCTGTCTTGGTAAATTGTAATGTATGTGTAGCACTGCATATAGTTTCTGTTATAACTTTTTGTTACATACGCTTTCTGTTACAAAGCTAATACCTAGTTTAAAACAAAAAGTATTTACTACAAAGTATTAAAGCCAGAGAGAAATTTTCCATGCCAGCCTCTGCCTCAGGGAAAGTGCTTATTAAACAAATACATCATTTTTCTGAAACTCATGCTGGAAAACAGATAAAGTGCATTTTCTGCTTAAAACAAATTAACTGTTGTTTCTCTGGGAGACTACAGGGCTCTCAAGAGCAAGAATGTAAGCTTTGACAACGTGATAGCTAGATGTCAGTGTTACTGTTCTCTGAAAGTTGTGCTGTACTCAGGGGAGATAAGGACACTAGACTGAGTGGAAGGCCACTCTGGGACAGAGGAGGCTGAGTTTGGTATCCAGCTGGCTTTGAACTCAGCAGTCTCCCTCATGTTTGCTCAGAGCTGTTAGTAAGGCCAGAATGAGTCTGTGTAGTCTTGGTATTTGCCAGCTTCATGGTGCTTGTTTAGGGGAGATGGAAGAGTTTGATCGTTTTTGGAGTTGTTTGTGGTTTGGTTTTGTTTTGAAATATTAGCACTTTGCTTTATTTGAAGTATTGGGAAGATGTAGCATTTTGGTCTTTAAACTCACCTGGTACCTATATTACATCCTTTATTTTTCAGATGTATATAGCACTGATTTCCCTGCATGCTTTAATAATGGTGGGATTTCACTTCTTGTATTGCTTCGAAGAAGACTGGACAAGTGAGTACTAACAAAATACCTCATTAAGATATCAGATTAGTTTTTGAGTAAGAACTTAAAATGTAGTTTGCTTGTTTCAGAAGAATGCTATCAGGGCTCTGCTGTGCTATCTCTGTTTTTAAATTTTTTTTAATGATCAATCCTGGAACTTTATAATTCTTTTTGACCTGCTGGGATCTCTGTCCTGAAAAGTCCTGTTTCAACTTACACCTGATACTGCCTAGGAAAAAGCTGAGATGTAAAGACACCTAACAAGTATGTGTGCAATAACTTACTGTTGACATGAACACAGCACTAATTTCCTGAATGCCAACACAAGACAAGAGGAATGCATATGCTTTTTTTAAAAGGGTAATGTGAATCATTCTTGCAAGACTGCCAGAAAAACATGCTAACTCAGATCCAAAAATCCACCCTCACAAGAACAAACAATTCCTTTCCAAAAAAAAAAAAAGGGCAAACCAAAACCAGAACCCAAGCAGCTCAAAAAAGCCAAAATAAAAACTCCAGCCCTCACTCTGAATCAGCCAGTGAGTAAATTTTCACAAAGACAGTCTATATATGTTTTTAAAACCACAAATGGATATAGGAAATCCTCGAGGTAATGCTGAGTCAAACTGCAAGCTGTCAAAGAATGTATGTGCTGCTTGTGAATTTTTTTGGAAAAGGATTAGGGTTTTTTTTCTTGGAATTTCAGTTGTGTTATTCAATATAATGACTGGTTTTAGTTTATACTATTGCAGAGGATAAACATATGAATTGAGTTTGACAAGGTTGTTCTGCAGTTCAAAACTTTGTAAAACAACTGCCAGCTGTCACTGAGAACTGCATTTGACTACAGTGGTCAGGACCATAAAAGGAAGGATACATCAAAAGGTAGTTTCCTTTACCCCCTTTCTCAGAGCCTGTTTGTGTGGGAAAAGCACTTTCCCACCTGCCTCAGGTTTAGGTGGCAGAACAGAGCTGTTATGAGAGATGGATAGGTTGTTCCAGCTCCTTCCGTTTATGCAGATTGTGTTAGCCTCTGATTATGGTGTATTTGTTAAAGCTTAATAGCTCATGAGAAAAATACAGGCTTTTAGTGAGAGTCTTGGATTTTGAAAAAATCTGGAGGTGTTCTGACATTTACAACACTTAACACTAAGAGCTTGGCCCTAAAACCTTTTTTCTTCCTCTTCCTTTCTTCTGCTTCTCTTTTGTATTTACCTTCTTGGTTTGGGTTTTTTTTTTAGCTTTTGCTTGAGTTTGCAGTATAGATTATGAGGAAAAATAAAAATTTGGCTTAATCTGACCTTCTTTAGGTCATGGCTTAGAGCAGTTATGAAAGAAGCATACTCTGGTTTTAGGTTGTTGCTACATATCCTCATGTCCTGACTGCCAGCTTGAGATTTCTAATTGACTTTATCACTGTGGAAAATCTGTTAAGACTAAGGTTTAAGAGAGAAGCTACAGGTGAAATGGAGTAGAATAGAGTCCTAGTCAGTATGCTGGGGAAAAACTGAAATGGAAAAGCAAGTTGAAGTGTTGCAGGATTTGTGTTTTTTTTTTTTTTATTTTTTTTTATTTGCTTGTTTGTTTGGTTGTTGTTGGTTTTTTTTAAATTGTGGGAGTGATCATTTTATGGTTGAATATCCTCAAGAATGTGAGAGCTTCCCTGTGTACTTTTCTGGGAATGGTGACCATATAATTTATTTGTCAGTTTGAGTATGGAAAACTTGTGGCTTAGCAGGTGTTTTGCAGCTGCTGCATTACTTGCTGTCTACCTTTCCAACTCTGTTGTTTTGTCTTCACAGAATGCAGTTCCTTCTCTCCACCGACTACGGTGATTCTTCTCATCCTCCTGTGTTTCGAGGCTCTCTTATTTCTTATCTTCACCTCAGTTATGTTTGGGACCCAAGTACACTCCATCTGCACTGATGAAACGGTGAGTGTCTCACACCCTCTCTCCTTTACCTTGTCTCTCACCATTTGTAGAAACAGTTTTTACCTCATTGCACAGAAGGTTCATGTACCCCTTGAGGAAAGATCCAGTGTAATAAACTGAGCTATCACAGTGCTGGATTGTGGTCCCTGAAAGTTACTGTGGGAAGTAACGTATGCCTATGTATTGGCTGGGATGCTGTGTTGATACTACCTACGATAAAGTAGGTATTGGTAACTGGGATTACTCTGTAGAGAGTGTTTTTCCCTATGGATTCAAGAACCTCTTTTTCTTTGCTTTTTCATTGGTATTGTCTGAAACTCAGCTGTGCCCTGGTTGTCACTATTTACAGGTTAATGTACTGGAAAGCCAAGATGAGTAGGTGGGGGAGGGATACATATACACACACATAGAGAGACTTCTTTTAGCCTGGAAGATTTTCTAGTTTTGGTTACTTATTAAATAGTTTAAAAACTCTTGCCAGATGGAAAACGAAAAGGGAGTAGAGTAGGCTCATGTAAGCCTGTTGGTTACAGTCTGCTGGAAAGCCATCAAATCATCCCCAGTTCAAGGGTGGCATAGTAGAGGTTACATAGCAGTGTTGCAGCCCATCCTATATCCCTGCATTTCCCCACTTCTGTAAAGATGGAGCTGGTGACTCCTGGGTGTGTTCCCACACTTGTGAATACTTCTAGTCTTCACCAAGCACGCTCAGATATAATTGAATTGACTGGAGTGGTTGGAGAGAAGTGATAGTCTTAAAAGAGTGACAGCTCTTCTTTTCTCCCCTGCCTCCTTTAGGTTTCTTTCCCCTTGTTTGCCCATGGCCAGTGGAAGCTAGAATAGGTATATTTGCTGCCATTGGAGAGCTGTGATTGGCATCATATGCTGTAAGGGCCCATTGCTCCCGCGTCTTTTTTTGCAGTGCTTTTTTTTAATGCTTGGCTTCTGCAAGAGGCTGATGTTCCACCTGTGGCTCTTCTGTGTTCAGAGGAAGACTTCATTGTTCTTTCTGATGGGGAGCTCCAGGAAGAAGTACAGTGTTCTACAGATCCCGCTGAGCTTGAGTTTTTCAATAAGTGTGTAAATTAGCAATGCTGCCTGTGAAATTATCATTTGAATTTCTCCGTCTTTGAAACCTGTCAAGAATTTTTAGAAGCTGCTTCCTACAGCAGGGCAACCAAAAAAGTTCCTCAGATTTTCCCTTTCCCTCTAATTCTGGGAACTTATAGATGTTAAAGGAGCAATGCCACAATCTAAAATAAAAAAAAAAGTGAAATATGGTCTCCCCTTGTTGGATTGTGTGTTTTCATTTTTGTTTTCTTTTTTGAATTGTACCCACAAGGATTTAGCTCTGTGGAACGTCTCATTGTTGATTTGCTAGCACTGAGCTAGCTGTGTCTGACAGGCAATCTGTTCTGAGCAGAGGAATACTTCCAGGTGAAATTCTTCTTGTTGTGCTCTCTTGCAGTGTTTTACATTTTAAACAGCAGGGCTGTGTCTTACCCTTTTTTCACCTTTCTCTTCCAATCACTGGGAGACATTATTCCTTACCTTGAGAATGCTGTCCCACCAAGATGGTTCCTTTCTGCCTGAAGGGACCCAGAGCCCTGGTATTTTGCTGGTCTCTGGAGGTGGCATTTACCAGGGATCAGCACAACTCCTGCAGTTGACCCATGTTGTGTTCTTCAGAGCTCCCAGCACCGGTAATTTGAGACACACAGATGCGTTGCAGTGCATTAATCCATAGCATGGAACAGACATGTAGGACAGGAGAAACCTTACCTTGCAAAAGGTGCAGAGTTAAAGAACAGAGTGATCTGCCTGCTGCTACCCGTGGAAGAGTAATGCTCTACAATGACTGCACTTGTTCATTTTGCTTCTGTGGCAGCCAGGCATATATGGCTTTCCTGAAAGACCAAATTCACTTTGTGGGTTTTAGACATAATATGGAATTTTTAATTTTTTTTTAACGTTTTACTAGTGAATGTTTCAGCTGATTGCTTGATGGCTTATTTTTGTTCTGCCTCTAACCTTTACTAAACAATGCCAATGATTTCTTCAAATCAGTGTCTTACTTAACCCTTTCTCCCTGCTGTGAGCCCATGCATGTTTTAGCAGTGATTCTAATGACATATGAAGAGGCAAGAGGTAGACTCAGCTACACTGAGCCATGGGCACTTCCTGAACTTGCTTGGTGAATCTGGGAGCAATATAGAGATTATCTTTGGGTTTGTGGGGGTTTTTGGTTCTTTTTTTTTTTTGTCTGCAAGCTTATAATGGATTCTTCTAAAACTTTTCCATCTGGTTAGCACATGATGCATTCAGCCATTAAAGCACATACTTTTTGTTTGGTTTTAAGTGATGGGGTTTTTTTTTATTTGACGTCACAGAGATTGGATGTCAGGTCTTAAAATGTTTCTGAAGTATCTAGGACTGAACAAATTGAAAGTAATTTTATTTCCAAGGAACACTCTCTAGCCTTAATATTTTTTAATATAAAGCAGTGAGAAGAAAAGGAAAGGCAATACAGGTACATTTGTGTTTTCTTACTCCATCCTTTGGATAAGGGGTAACTGAGAGTAGACTTCTCCCCGAATCCAGAATTACAAAATCTGAGTATTTGACTGAAAATGTGATATTTCTGTTTTCAGGGAATAGAACAGTTGAAAAAGGAAGAGAGAAGATGGGCTAAAAAAACAAAATGGATGAACATGAAAGCAGTATTTGGCCATCCGTTCTCTATAGCATGGCTTAGCCCATTCGCAACACCAGACCAAGGAAAAGCAGACCCGTACCAGTATGTGGTCTGAGGAATTCTTGACCAGCATTTCCACTAAAATAGAAACATATTACAGCACTACTGTTACAAATTTTCCATGAATGTTTAAAACAAAAAGCAAAATGAACTTTTTTTATGTCTATTAAATGGCTGATAATTGCAGAGAAAAAAAAGCCCTGTATTCCACCATTTTAGATAATTCTATATCTCTGGCTGAAACTGCTGCTGCTTTTCTTTTTCTTTTTTTTTTCTTTTTTTTTTTTTATCACATTAACTTTACTGGCATTTGTTTCTCTCTGCTTTCTGTATGGCATAACTAATGTGAAGGGGATCCTCTCTTCTCTGTTATGACCCACCTCTTCTGAATAGATTTTCATGCTGTCTCCTGACTGTGATGAGCTCTGTGGATGACATGTGAGTGCCAACAGCCCTACACAGACACCTTTGGACTTCCTGAAGGAGCACATTGCTCTTTCATAAGTGAACTTGAACAGGGAAGCAGATACTTCGTGTACCAAAAGGTGCAAGACAAGAAGGCAACACAGCAAGAAAGCCAGTTGACCTGGTGATTGCATACAGTTAAAGTACTTGAAGGTTGCCAACACCAATTCCCACCCCACACTCTTTTTCCTTCCAGCCACAGAACTGATTCCATCTTTCTGGCATTATTTTGTCTGTTCCCTCCCTAGTGTGCAGGAAATTGTTGCCCTTTTAGGATAACTGTGGCAGATTTAGAAAACTCTTTGGATTATTAAATGCCTTACACTTGCAGGAAAGGAAGAAAGCTAATTTTCAAGTGTTTAGAATAGCAGAATCATGTTCTTTGTGTGTGTTTGTCTTGGTAAATGACTTGATAGAGCAATGCCTGCTAAACAGTGTTAACGTGAAAAAAATGACATGAATGCCCAGATTACTATAAAGACTCATATTGATGGGTTGTGTAAGTATACCAGAGTGATTAATTCTATATTCTTAGCATTGCCCTGGTTTAGAGCTTTGTAAGTCTTTTCTGATATTTATACATATGTGTGTGTGTGTGTGTAAACACATGCACATATATGTGTAAGTGTTTTAAATTGGGAAATATTTATGATAAAGAGCATGCATGCTGTTATGAACTGTGTGGTGATAAAAGTGGGAGGGACAGAAGGCATTCCAAAAACGGGTAAAGCTAAACCATTCATAACTACAACTGACATCTTGTGTTCTGGCAGGAATTTTTTTATATTTTTGGATTGTGACTCCCATGGGCTCATCAGATGAATTGCAAACAAAGGAAGTATACAAATCAGCTGTGTCTATGACTTCCAAGGAATCTTTTCTTTCCTTGGTTTAAAATAAAATGGTATTTTTTTGGAAATTAACCTGTTTAGACTGCTTCAAAGCCACGGGGAAAGGGAGGGAGATTGGGGAAGGAGAAATTTAATGGATGTCTCATTTTGGAAGTAGTGTGAATGCTGCATCTTTTCAATCTGTCAATGCTTCCATATGGAAAACAAATGCAATAAAACTTTTGCAAAAACTTGTTTGCTGTTCTTTCTTTCTTTGCTTCAAATGTTGGGAAAAATCTGTAATGGTTTTCTGAACTTTCACTTCCATTTGCAAGCAGGCAGAAGTATATAAAAGTCAATTAACCGAGTGTTCAGCTTTTAAGTGTAAAAGTGAGTTAATTGGTAATACACCGACCTGTTAATCAGGGGTTTTATGTCTCCACTCGGGAGAGGTTGTAACTCTGATTTTAGTATGCAATGGTGTTTCTCAGAGAATCCTCCCAGCTTAATAATTAAGGGCTGGATCTTTGGCCAGGGTCAGTTCAGCCAGTGAGGCACGTGCGCGTGGTAACTTGAACTGGTAGAGAATCCGGCCCAAAAGCTGTCTTGATGCAAAATCAGATATATTGAGGGGAGAGGCTTTAGTGACTTAGGCAATTAACTAATGAATGCATCTCTCTGTTCAGTTCACTGCTTTAAGAATTGCTTTGATTATAAATTCTACATTCCTGTTTGGGTTTTTTTTAATTAACCTTGTTGGTTATGCATCTTGGAGGAAGATTGGTTATGCTGTTCTGGCATTTTGACCATTGTGGAAAAATGTGTAACTACCAAGTTTTTCTTGTTTCAAACAAATGCAAATTGTTTAACAGCATTATGCACTATTGATATTTTCAGTCAAACTGTTTTTTTTTGTAAATGAGGCATCATCACCGAAATGCCACTGGTACGTGTCAGGTGTGTGTGTGGCAGTAACTGAGGGTCCTCAGTTTTACTTGCGCTATGCAACTTCATGGTGCAATTTGCATGATACTAAATGTGAGTCGGTATTAATATGAGAGAGGAACTGGTTTGCTTCTGTAAAGTATTTTCTTGGGCAGGACAACCCATTTCCAAATGCTTGTTCTGTTTTAGCTTGGCCAAGAGAAATTGAAATCAAACTCAAATCAGGGTGCTTCTGTATTGGAAAGCTAAGTGGTACTCCAAGCAGAAATAAGTGCAAAGAAGTGCTGTAAGAAAAGTCTGCCTTAATCGTGATTTCTGATGGCAATGCTTTCAGTGTCTTAACCATCAAATTGTCACAATGCTTGTCTTTTCATTTTGCTCTTTCATATTTTGAAAGTGCATTAAAAGAAATTAATGCATTGCTTCTAACATGCAAGAGCTGCCCCACAGATTGTTTCTGGGTCAGGCGACGCAGCCCACCATCCTCTGGCACTGGACAGGAGCAGATACTGAGGGCAGTAGTGGGGAAAACGGTATATCCTCCAGCATCATAGTGGCCACAGGTCAACCTTATCTTACTGTCCCCATGTTTGCAATGATGTACCTCTTACTGAAGTGGGAGTGTCCGGTATTTTATATTTCTTGGTTTATGTCTTCTCTTTTTAATATTGGTTCAGAATTATGTAACTTGGAATAGTGAAAGACCATGATGCATGATGGGAAAGATAAACAGGTGTTGGTTTAATTCGATATACAAAATTCCCACTTTCTAAAGTAATGGTGAGAGATTTCATGTAAATATATATATATTTAAAATAAGTTTCATTAAATAGTGACAAAATGTCTTCAACAGCTGTGCTTTCCTTCCATCCTCCTAAATTCCTTTTAAGGCATAACCTCACACCCTACTGACCATGTGGCTGGCAGCCAAATTAGATCAAGATACAATTATAAAACTTGTGCTTATTTTGAATACATGCTTTGAAGGGATTAGTGAGGTCAGATTGAGAGAAAGTATGCCCCTCCCTGCTCTGATGAACTGCTCCCTAATTGGCATTAGCACAGCCTCTGCCTGACCTTGCTTATCTCCTTGGCTAGCAGATGCTGTTCGGAGCAGGTGAGCGATGTTTTTTTGGGGAGGAAAGGAGGGGTTGCTGCCCGGAAGTGTTCCAAATTTGTATTCCCAATCTAGATGGCAGCAGGGATCGAAGCAGATTAAGCACGTGATTGAGGGCAGGGTTAAAGCTTGTGCTGCCAGGGAAGGGTTTAAATGCTCGGTGTCTGTCTCTCCTCCTGCTTTGTGCTACTTGTTCTCCTTCTCTCTAGATACTCACACAGTACGTGCTGCAGCCGGGGTGCCAGTTTGTTACTAATGCATGGGAAATTTCTGCAGTTCACTAAGGAACAGCCGACAAGCAAAAGTGGTCTTCTGCTTTCAGCTCCTAAAGCCTCTGCCTCCCGGTTGCGCAGCCACTGGGTGCTGGAAATGGAGTATCCTGGAGGAAGAGCACATGGTAGTGCTAAAACGCTCTGCTGTGCACGAGCACTGCTCCTCTCCCAGCTTGCCCAGCAGGGAGGTAAGGTCGGGCCCTGGCTGCAGCAGCACCAAGTGTGGTATCCCAAGGGACCAGAGGCTGCAAGGGATTTTTCCCTGGAGCTCTTGAAACTGTACATTTACAACCTTGGGAGCAGAGCAAGGGGATGCAGGCCTGTGCATAGCATTCAGAGTCCTTCAGGGCTTGACTTTTTCCTGAAATTGCAACCCTGAAGAATTCTGATTTGGTGTTGCGTCATTCCTTTCTTCACATTCACTGCTGGGTTTCTCCTAAGTCAGCACAGAGAAACGGGGCATGAATGAAGCTCAAAAAAGCTTTGCACATAGTGCTTCAATTTATGGTGTGTTTTCTCCTGGGTCTGCTCATGCTGACTCAATGTTATTGCAAAACTGGGCTGCTGCTACGGTGTTATTTGTAAGGCTGACTGTGAGTGCATCTGTGCTGCTTGAGCTCCTGCGTGTATTTGTTTCCCCCCACTGCAAAGCTTTGAATGTAGTGCGTCGTTAAGAAAAATCTGTAGAATTAGAACGTGACAAGTGTATCGTTCATCCAGCTCTTCTAATGCCCTTCTTTCATACAGTTTTAACTGAATTTGCTTGTTTTTTTCCTTTCCTTGAGTTTCTCAAAATTGGAATCCAGTGTTCTCGCTTCTCTAAGAACAGACTTTCTGTGGTCATTTGTATGTCATCGTGAGTGTATCCTACCCAGCTGCAAATCTGACTCCTCTCTTATATGATACAGAAGATGTGCATAAAAAATTGTGCCCTATTTCATACAGTGGTAGCCTTAAAAAAAATTTATTAAGAAAATAAATTTTAGTTCTTTATTTCTACATGGAAAAGGCTACCAAGGAAAAAATGTTGCTGCCCAGATTTGGTGTATCTGTTCTTTAAGTACAATCAAAATGTTTGCTTTACTAAAAGCAATGTTCTTGGAGGGAGAATGAATCAAAATATTGACTGACTAAGGTTCCAGTCCTTTTTTTAAGCTTCCACTTCCACCTGTACAGAATTTCTCACCTCCCAGTGAGCTATCTGGCTTGCATTGTGATTTGTTTTTGACAATTTGGTAAATGGAAATTGTGTTCTTAAATATTTACTCTTAACTGGGACAGAGTGAGCTTCTAGGTGTGACATTGGTAAATTCCTGATTCCTGGAAAAAGGTGCAATATTTTACCTGTATCTAAACTACTGCAAAAATGCCCACATAAGGTGAAACTCTTAAGTTCTAACTGTATTTTGTCACTCCTTGGAGGTATTCAAAAAGCTGCGTGAGAAGAGGTCCATGTTTCCCAAAAGACTGGCTTTTCAGGAGCCATCTCTGTACTGTAGACATCCATAGCAACTGATGCCAAAATACGTCCGCAAGATTCAGATTGTCCACGAATTTGATCTTGTTTAGGGTTTCGTTGTTAAATTCAGAGATGAAACTCTCACTAATGCAGGATGTCTGTATTCACTGTTAACTTGAACTCGAACAGCATCGATCTGGCTATAGATAGGCAGTTCTGCAAGTGCTGCAATGCCCAAATACCTGCTATAAATGTGAGACGACCCTGAACTCTTCTCTTCTTGCAGGGTATTGAGCGACTTAAAAATCAGAAGCCAACCTGGGAAAAGATCAGCGGCTGGGAAGGAATGAAGCTGGCATTCGGCGGTGCCTTCTCTTTGGGTTGGTTCAACCCTTTTTCAAACCTGAACTGTGAGAGACCAGCACCGGCTGAAGCAGCAGCAGCAGCTCCTGCGTCTGAAATACTGACCCAAGAAGAAATCGAGCAGTTTCTCGCTCGAGACGTTGCCATCCAGATACATGAATAAGCAAAGCATCCTCTACGATGCCAGGAGAAGCTTTCAGGTGTTTTTTTTTTTTAATAACTTCTCATGCTGGAGATTTAAGGCGTTGTTTTTTAACATACTTTTGGTGCATTAAAAAATTCAGGACTATTTGTCTGGAAGCTGGGTACAGCACTAGTGGAAGCAATGCAAATCTCCAGAGAGAGCTTTATAAGTGAGGAGGATCATAAGCTCCTTTTCAGACCTGTTCGAGCTGCTTTATTGAGCTTTTCTTACATGGCCTTTAAGGACAGTTTATAATTGTCAGATAGATTTGTTCCAGTTCCCAGAAATGTGGAAGTCTGATTAACTAGGGTGTCTGGTTAATCTTTTGTTCTTACAGCCTTTTGGAGGACTAAATGTGTGATGGCAAGATTAGCCCAACTCTGAAAGTTTTTGTGAAAAACACATCCTGTTTAGCCCATCTCATCGTATGGATACTGCTTATGGGTTATGAAAGTTGCTGGTGTGCAGGTCTTAGCAGAGGTGGGGTACAGGGCTGTGGATGCAGCAGATGGATGAGCTCGCCCTGGGTGTAATTCCTTTGGGCTCTGAAATATCTCCAGGGGTAAATTTTTACCCTCTGTGCTTGTGGGACTGGCCAAGACTGGCGGTGCTTGTCAGAGCTGGTGGGCTTGTGGTGGTGCCAGGCTGGCCAGGAGCATTCACCTGTGGCAAGTGCAGCCAAGAACAGGCAAATGTTGGCCCTGCCATTGAACTTTTGTCCCGGTTTGTTTGCACATAAGATGTGTGGAGCAGGAGCTACCTCGCCAACCTCTGCAGCCCAGAAAGCAGGCAAATTGTCTAGGCCAGGTACCAGGGCTATTTCTGCAGTCAGAGAGAGACAGACAGGAACACCCTGCTGATGGAGGTACTACCATCTCTCCATTTGACTTGTCTAATTTAGATGTCTCTCTTTTTTTCTTTTCTTAATAGCTAGAGTTAGTTGAAAATGAATAGTGCCTCTTAATCTTACTGGGGTTTAACATTGTCCTAACAGTACATGCCATTGCACAGGGTTTCCTTACTCTAATTTTCCAGCCAGCTCCTGGTGAATGCTGTGGAAGGAACATGGATCTCTCAAAGAAAGCATCACTGCAGGTGGCAGTAGTTGCAGCAAAGTTATGCAGAGGTGTTGCTAGGCCCTGCATTCAGATGCACTACAAACATTTGGCATCCTCCAGATGTCAGGGTAATTTTAATTTAGACTGTTTTTCAAGTGTTTGGGGGTTTTTCCCTTCTATCATATCCCTTAGCTCATTTGTCATTAGAGATGTGTTCCTGGTTTCCCCACCACAGAACATGCTTGATTTTATTATCTCCTCCTCCCCTGTAACATGGACCAAAGATAACTGCTTCCTCTCAAAAATAAGAGAAAGGAGGTTTTGGGATGAAAGCATGGTATTGTGAAAGACCTATATGAAATTTTATTATTTATAGGAGTGATATCAAATGGAATTTATGCAGGATTTTTAAAAAAAATTTTACCCCAAAAAAGCATCTTGGGATGTATTGATGATGTGACTTTCAGGGCTACTGTGGACAGATGAGATTCTCTCCTGGACTTGTCCTCTGCCTTTTTCTGGCAAAGGTACTGGAAACAAACGGAGTGCCTTGACTGTTTAAGAACACAGCTTGTTCTTGCTAAAATCCAGGGCGTATTTACGAACAGTTGTCCCATCCCCTCTTCCCTCTGGATGTCTGTCCTCTTCGTCAGTGAAAAATAGATATAGAAAAAGTCATTAGGAACTGTGTATTTATAACCTTTTGGGTAAAGGGAAGCACCCTGCATTTGAGACGCAACGAGATACCCTCTCATGTCATTTAGACATCAGGTCTTGAGTGTCTTTGCCCTGTGCAGCAGTGGGATACTGAGGGAAGAAGCTTTCCTACTTCTGCACCAGCCCCCATTCCTCTCTGTCAGCATCCCACAGGAAAGGGACATCAGGGGCATACTCACATCTGTAAGGGATTTCCTGTAGGGAGTAATGGGGATGTTGAAGGAGGAAGAGTGCCCTTTTTAGCTCGCATTTTCTAATTTTGGCTTGCTGCTCTGCCTCTGCATCCAGTTAACATCCCTGCCTCTGGTGCTGTGTCTGCAGTGGGAATGGTGCTACAAGGAGAAACTAGTTAGTGGCTGAAAATCACCTTGAGGCAGGTATATGGGAATATCAGCTTGGGAGAGACCCCCATGTGCTGCATTTCTCAGGACACAGATGCAACTAACATGGTTTTGGGTAGGCATGGATGCAGGCAGCATATTTTCTTCTCCACTCTCAAACCTAGTTCACCTCATAATGAGAACCAGAGTCCTTTGCTTCTGTTTCCCACCTCTCGTATTGTTCCTCAGGTACTGGCATTTCTGAATGTTTTTTTTTTAGTAGGTGAAACGGAAAAACAGTGTGAAGAGGAGGGTAAGAGCCAGGACAGCTGTCTCCCCTCCTCAAATTACAGTTTGAGTGAGAGACAGGGTCATGTCCCTGTGCCTTATGCAGAGCATGGCAGCCAGCCCAGCCCCAGCTCTGGTGCCCCCATGACCTGGTGGGGTGATTTCTTATGTCCAGCAAATCAGTTCTGGTGTTTCTTGGCTGTCAGTCCCCCTTGTCCTCCTCTTCTTTCTCCTCTCTCAAAGTCTCAGTACCCCTTGGTGTATCTCCTCTGTCTCAGTGTAGTGTGACAACTGTCAGAAATCACAGAAGTCTTCAAAAGTTGGAAAAATCTGTTTTATCCACAGCTTTAGTATAAACCTCTTTCTTTAATGATTTATGTGGTCGCTTGAGACCAAACATGATTTTCATGAAACTGAAACCAAACCCTCCATTTTCCTTTCCTTCCCTCCATGCTGTAATAGGTTTGTCTTGCCCCTTGTTAAATCATGCCTTCGTCTTCAAGCCATGCTGCTGTAGTCCCATCTGAGTTCTGGCTAGACCTTGCTAGGTCCCAGGGAAGGCTCTCCTGGAAATTATGTTCACAGTGGGGGGCTGGGGAGGATGCTGTCTCTGCACTGCTCAGTGTGGGACATGGTCCACTGGCGATCCCATCACTGCTCTGATGTGAGGTGTTAATATGTGATGGACAGGGCCATGTCAGACGTGGAAAGTGTTCTTGTACTTCTTACCTGGTGTCTTCTACAGCAGGTTTTCTATGCAAGTAAAGAATTTACATCTCTTAAAAATATTTTTTGCTGTTTGTAAGTCCTTTTCGTGCCTTCAGTTGCTATTGTATTTACTAAAGAACTAATACTTCATCTGCCAAGGACCACCTGCTCCTCCCTACCCTATGGACACAATGCACATGGACTCTGCACCCACTCTGCCTGCAGAGAGGAGCTCCCACTCCCTGCTGTGCCACCACAGGAGATGGCTTCTTGGGGACCCAGTGCTGCTGTGCGGCACCAGAACACCGTGGGCAGAGGGGCAGCAGGGGTCAGGGCAGCCTGACCCCCTTCTGTGGCCCAGCAGCCACCTCTGAAACACAAGAGAGGGGTTAAAACCTTCTTTTTTGCCCTTCCTTTTTTTTTTTCCTCCTCCCTTTTTATGGGGTGGCACATAATCAGATGTAGTCACCATTTCTTTTTCCCACCCTGTGGCCTTAATGCTCGAGCATTTGCCTTTTAAATAAACAAATAAATAACCCCCTATGTTCTGTGTGACTTAATTTTCTCTTTACTCATGGAAATACTGGAAACCCCAGTGTCAGACTGCTGCTGGCCATGCTGTGGCAATGCTGTGGGGCAGGGCAATCCCTTGCTAAAGGTGGACTCGGGAATGTGCAGTGCAGTGGTGGGCTCCAGCTGTGCACAGCTGTTGTCTTCAATGTGGCTGTGGCTGGAAGAGCTCCAGATGTACATTGCCATCAAGGTTCTACCTGTAATCCAGCAGCATTCAGGGTGGAAGGAGAAGAGTAGGGGTTGTACATTTCTAGGGAAGCATTGGTAATGCAGCTGGAGATGGTACTTCCAAAAATGCCTGAAAACCCCCAAAAGAGGTGGCATGGGAAGAAATGTATGAAAAATGGTGTTTGGGGTGACTGTGCCAGGTTTGCCCTTTCTGTGCTCTAAAGACAAGAAAAGGTGCATGCCAGTACGTTCTCCAGGTGGTTAGCTGGGAGGGAGAGGGAATCACCCAGGAGGGATTTGCTTGAAATGTTCCTTGAGCTGCACAGCAGCCCGTGGTGCAGTGAGGTCCCTGGGAGGTCCCATGGGAGCAGCACTGCTGGCCCTTGCCCCAGGCTTACACCCATCGCTGTCTGAAGCTGGCACCATCACAAGCTCTGATCCTTAGCAAGAGGTGAGTTTGGAGCCATCCCAGTGTGGCGATATCACACAACCCAATTACACAGTCAGTTTTAACAATCTTTATTGAATCACAATTAACTGCAATCAATGCAACTGTGCCCTTTAAGTCAGGCTAATTCCTTAGCTTAATGGTATTTTTGCTCTTTACTTTGAAAGTACTATCTTGCAATCAAGGAGGCAAGAAGTGCCTGAGACACCCAGCGACACAATGTGTTTAAGCAAGGCCACTGTTTGCACCCACCGAGGCACCAATCCTACTCGATGATGGTGATAGCCTTCTCCGTAGAGATCCCTTTGATCTGGTTTGAGGTCAGCTTGGCTACTATTTTCTTCTCTCCTAGTCTTGTTGGAGTGCATATTATTTCAGACTTCATGATCCTGCCAGGCATTATATCCCTAAGGACAAAAAAACCCAAATAATCTCAGCATGAGTAAGGGTTCTTGTTTGCTGCTTTTGAATAATTTCACTTAAAGAACTAGGTGGTGTATATGTTTGCGGGTGATGTTTCCCTTCTGTCATGATCCATGTGCAGCAAGTGGGGTGTGGCATGGTGGCACTGGCTGGTGGTCCTGTTGGTCCTGGGGACCTTCCCCAGAGTTAGTTCCCGCTACTGCTGAAACATTTAATTCAGCTCTGAAGGAAGCAGCTGTGTTCACACTGACCAGGCAGCACATGGCATCACAGCAGGAGCACAGGGAGAGCCCCTGCCACGCCCCAATGCCCTGAGCCTGCCAACGTCTGCGTGTGTCTTTCTCCTATGTGGACTGTGGTGGAGTTTCAAACACAGCTGGCAAAGGGTCATCTTACTCCAAATCCCCTAGCCACTTCTCCAAGGGAAATTAAAAAAAAGAAACAAAGCAGAGTACTGCCATGGTCATTTAATGGGCTCATCTCCTTACCCCTGATCAAACGTTGTCATCTTAAATATGCCCAAGCCCTCCACCAGCAGCTTGCAGTTTTCCAGAGCCACGTTTAGCTTGTTCTTGAAGATGAAGGCACAGCTGAAGTCATTGTTCAGTTTGGCTACTTCGGGCATCTGGCAGAGGAGGAAAGAGAGGAACAAACCCAAAGATCAGGGATCAGAGGGGTAATAAAGGTTCCAGAGCTGCTGCAGGTTTGCTGTGCACCACCAGTATGGTGTGGGACAACTCCTTCCACCCTTCCATCCTTTCCACCCTCCCATGGTACTGTGTTTTCCCAGCTGGTTTCTCTCTGATTTCTCAATATGTTTTTCCTTCAGAAAATGGGATTGGAGATGGGCTCTGTACAAACTGTCCTATTCCATCCCCTTCCCTCCAGCAGCCCCTTCCTTCCCATTTTAGATGGGGCAATAATATTTTCATTTCATGGCTGCTTTCAACCTTCAGTTAAGGGTTGAATAGCCAAATAAAATGCCAAGGACTGGGCATCCCAGGAGGCACCTGTTTGGGATATCCTCCTGTGAATGCCACACTAAGTAGGGCTCAGTTCCCCAGGAGCCTGGCTGGTGCCTCCCTCACCTGGACAGTGATGGGGGGGTACTCAAATCTCATTGACGTTTCCTTGGTGAGTTTGTCATTTGTTTCCTTGACCTCAGCAATGGCAGTGACAAGGATGAGCACTTCATCATCCACCGAGGCCAATGTCTTCATATACGCGTCAGGTGCTATTTTCAGAGGGATCTGCGTTTCTGCAGGAAAGAAAACACAACTTGATGCTTCATCACACACTCAGGAATTGGGTGGCAGAGTCAGCTCTGGTGGCTGGTGTCTCAGGGTGTGGGATGAACCGTATTTCCTGAGACCATCCTGCTTTCCCTTCAGGGTGTAGCCCCTGTTGGGGGAAGCCCTGGCTGGGTGGGCAGTACCTGGCACATGCAGCCCATGGGAGGGGTAGCTGAGTCCCGACCATCTCTCTGCCCAGACGAGCACTGGCTCAGGCTCACATCCAGCATCTCAGCAGCCCTCATCCCCGGCTGCCCCAGCACTCAGGAGGAGGCAGAGGAGCAGGAGATTAGGTACATCTAAACCTGTGTCCCCTGGGGTTTCTCTGAGGCACTGCTTGCTATAAAATTGCTTGCTTTCCTTTCATTTCAGATTTTATCTTTAATTGTCTGGACAAGCTTCCAGTGGGTCAGAAAAGCCCTGAAGTCAGCAGTGCTGGTGTCTGAGCATTGCTTTAGCTGCAAAGCTTCCTGGCTTCTTGGAATAAAACCAAAAATGTCTGTCCTTTTCCCTAAATGTATGTATGTATGTATGTATATATATTGGACACACCTTTGTGTCCTACCCTGCTGCATTTTGACAGTGTTAAGACACTCAGCACTCACTAACAGCAGAGATTTTTTTTTTTGCAAGAGTGACTCATGCTTGGAATGAGCAAAGGGTTGTTAATTATTCATCACTCATTAGTCTCTTATTTAGCAAATTTCAGTTACACTGCTGGGGATCAGAAATGCAACCCAGGTCATTCAAAGATACGCAATGCACAGGAGCAAACAGCTCTTGGGATCAGCCAGGCAGGCAGTCAGGAGGCAGAAATTTGGTTGGCAAAGAATTCAGAAAATAACACCAGCATCACCACCATCAAGATCAGAGTGGCAAACAAGAACAAAACGAGGCTGAAATTTCCAGCTATCTAAATCCTGTGAGGGATCTAATCCATCAAAGCCTGCAGTGGCATCTTTGATGTTTATATAGTAAGGACAGGAGGGAGATACTCCAGCACACTTCACTCACACCATGGAAACCTCTGTCTGCCCACACTGATGTATTTCTAACCACCTCATTGAAGCTGCAGCAGGGACAGGGCCTTCATGTTTTAATCCCTGCTACAGAGGGATCCCAGTCTGTAACTGAGACTTCCAAATGCAGTAACAAGGGAGGGAGGTAGCAGGCAGGTAATTTCTGCTCTTCACAAAGTACAGAGCCATACATTGGTCTATAGTGGAGCTATTGCAAATCCCAGACTGCCACAGTAAATAGTGCACAGAACACACCAAGCTTTCTGGTCTTACCAGATTTGCCTTCAAGCTTGATGGTCTCCTTGATAGTTCCAAGGTTGGCCTGAACTTTTCCAGTATAGTACTGCAGCTGGCAAGAGCCAGCAAGATCAATGGTCCAGTTCCCAGGAGTAGACGTCTTCACTGTGATGGCCAGTTCAAGGGGATTGCCAGGATGCAAAGCTTCCGTATTGGTTATCTCAAGGTGGAGCCCAGTCTTGGTAACTGTCTCATGCAGGACCATAGGCTTGTTTGTACTCATACCGTGTTCCTGCACAGTTGTAGCGTAGCCTGAACGAGGAACCAGTCCTGAAGGGCGTATGAAGGAGCAAGCTCTTTCCATGGCCTTCCTTTCCTCTTTGGAGCCTGGATAAAGAAAAAGATGGATGATATCTGTATCTCAGTCTCCTCACGCAGAGCCATCTTCCCTTTATTTGTGCTTCTGCATCCTGCAGAGAGGATGGAGGATGTCAGGGCACCTCCAGCCTCTGCTCAGGAGACCTTCCTGTTTACACTACCACCAAATCTAACTGTAGCATTTTGGACTAGAAGAATTTCCTGAAAGAGACGCTTTTGGAGGATGGATGCTCTTAAATTTTTCAGCTTGATATTTTTGTCCTCCTCACTGGAAGGGGTTTAATAATCTAGGACAACATGGCTGGATCTGATAATTGTCAGGAGAAAACATAGGATTTTTTGTTTCCAATATGGTGTGGGGAAAGGAAAGACAAAAAGAAAAAGAATGAAGAAATAAAGCAAAGGTCAGTCTGATGACTAGGTTCATCACTCAGCCCATTTCTTTCATTGCCTGCTAACTTGCTTGTCCCCAAAGAGCAGCCTATAGGTGTCACTGTGGGCATGAGGATGCCCAGGATAAGTGCTGCCTCCCGAGGGTCTCCAGGTCTTACACCAGGTTTGTTACTGCAGCTACTCTTGCAGTTTTCTCCTGAGACAACACGTGTTGAGGGTGACCTACATGGTCAGAGGTCTCCTCTTTGGCACTACATTAGAGGATTGGGGCAGTCACCTTCAGGGTACTTGTACTGCAGGGTGATGTCTTCCCGCTTGTTCTGCCCCACGGCTTTTGTGCTGATGTTTTTGCCGATATCCTGGGTGTCCGTGCTAACCCTGATGTACTTATCCTTGCCGTTCACCTTCTTGACGATCCAGTAGACTTTGTCAGCATTCACCTCTGCATACACAAACTTGCCATCGTAGGGCAAATACACATCTCCTTCTCGGACAGCCTTCACTGGGCACGGACCACACTGGAAAACACCTAGAAAGTGCATTCAATACCAGCTGATTTTCCAAAAATGAGCAGTGAATGCAATTTTTATTCCACTCTCAAGCACACTAAAGCAGGAATCTGTGGCCATGGTAGTTGACACTTAGCAGTAAATAGTCCTCCAACTCAGTAACGAACTCCAAAAGCTCTTATTCATCCCACAGCTGCTTGGGCTTTTTTGTAGATGGCCAAGGTCTGGTAAGAGGTTTTATGTTTCCCCTCACTTATATAATTTTAAGGTTAGAAAGTCACAGCTCAGTTATAGAGTTAACTGAGTCCAGACATCTCTGTTTGAACTGGCAATATTCCACTTTCTGCACTGCCTTGAGAATGAATGTTTTGGGGTTTTTTCTGCTTCCAAATTCTCTGAATCTGTGCAGAGAGGGTAGTCACCAATTTTGGTGGTCACTCCTCCCATCTACCAATGAACAGGCTCATGATCTCCATGACTTAGGTGTGCTCTAACCTCTGAAATGACATTCATGTCCCCATAGCATTCTACAAAGTTGTTTTTCTGCCTACCAAGAAATGCTGTTCCTCCCATCCTGGCCTGAGATGGCAGGAGTGAGATCTCCTGCTTTAGGGTGTCACTGCCCCAGCGCGTGACGATGTGCATGGGGAGTATGTGCTTTGCTGAACAGGGAGCATGGCTTTCATACAAAATGTCCCTGCCTCCCTCAGGAGTTGCAGAAGAGCCTTTCTAGGCAAATCCTACCTTGACTTTGCTCCTGAGGAGTTGCATCAATTGCCTGCCAGCCATCAAACCCATCTGGCAGGTCTGTCCTCTTCATCCAGACATCGTTCCACACGTGGAAGTTCCTGCATGCATTTGGGTTGGAAAGAAAAGGAGTGAGCTGTTACAGCCTGAAGAGTCATGATCCCCTCCCTTAAGCCTTTAGTAAGGGCAGATTTAATAGGTATTTGCGTGTAAGCTGTGAAACCCCAGGCTTTCTCTGTCCTGGGCAATAGGGGAAATTATCAAAGGAGTTGCTGGGGGTGGGAAATGGGGCACTGCAAGGCAGCACAAGGGGTATGAAGCATTAGCCCCATTTGGCAGTACCAGACAGAGTCGAGAGACATCCAGTTCAGCTTTTCTCCTGATTCATTCAAGTAAATGTCAACTCTCAGGTTCTCCTCTGTATCATGTGCTGAGTTGAAAGTACTAACGCAGCGGGCTGGAACTCCCAAGCAACGCATGACTGCAGCATAGACCAAGAAAACACAGGATCACAAAACCACTCAGGTTGGTGGGCACCTTTGGGGATCATCTTGTCTGACCCCTCTGCCAACACAGGGTCTGCTAGAGGAGGTGCCCAGGACTGTGTCCAGATGGCTTTTGAATATCTTCAAGGATGTAGATTCCATAACCTCTCTGGACAACCCATGCCAGTGGTTGGTTACCCTCATGGTGAAAAAAACTATTTCCCATATTCAGACAGAACCTCCCATGTTTCAGGTTATGCCCATCACCTCTGGTCTTTTCACTGGGCATCACGGAGAAGAGCCTGTCTGTGCCCCACTCCTTCCTGTCAGGTATTTATTCACAAGGATAAGACCCCCAGAGCCCTCTCTTCTCCAGGCTAAGCGGTCCTGGCTTTCTCAGCCTGTCGTTACATGACAGACCCTGCCACCTCTGCTGCTCAGAGGCAGAGGAATTTGACTTACTAGCACAGTAATTAGGATGTTAGAGAAGGGAGACAGTTCACTGTTTACCTGTAGTGAGGACTCCTGCGAAGACCCAACATTGGCCATAACTGACTGGCTTCTTTGTTTTGTAATACTTCTGCAAAATTGTGACACTCCCAATCCAATCCATAGGGGACGTCCCACCGCTGTAATTCCCTGACCAGTTCCCCATCAGGACACCGCTGTCATCATTGGCATTAACCTGTGGCCACACACATATGCAAAGGAGAAAAATAAAGCAATGAGGCTGAATGAGGCTTAAATCCTCGGGGTCTCTGCCCGCCCTATGTCTTCCCAGGTATTCCACAGCCCTGTGGCACCCAGCAAGGCTGCTGGTTCTGTCTGGGGGCTCCCCTGGTTGGAAACTCTCTATCTGGGTATTTAGAGGGAGGTGGCACTGCTGCTCGGGGTAGTCAAAATTAACCCTGCACCCAGCGCTCCAAGAAGTGTCCCACCACAGAGAGCAGTTACTCCATCAAAACACAATCCTTGTGTTGACCCCGCCAACACAGCTGATGAGGAAGAACAACCACTGGAGCAGCTGCAAGCTTTGGAGATGGGAAGATATTTTATTTTGTCCACCTCTTCCCTCGACCCAAAATGCCTCTGACTCTTTCCTTGCAGTTTCTCAAAGAAATCTATTTCAGATGCTTCCTGAAATGATGTTCACGGTCCCGGGGAAGGAAGAGCAAGTAAGAAGGAGGAGGGAGTTCTGGAGGGGCAAAGCACTTCACCGAGAGAGGCTTACCAAAGCAGACATGGCTCTGGACACATATGCAGGATCCCTTCTATTGGTCAGACTGAGTTTGCTTTTGTCCAGTAGATACATGCAGGCGTCCAAGACGAATTCCTCAAACTGTTTTGTGAAGAAAATGGAGGCATTTTTATATGCTGCTCTAAACCAGAATTTGCTTGTCAGTGTAAAGCAAATACTTGGAGGAAACTGTCTGACAAGCTCTAACTTCTAAACTTCCTTTCTGATATTAAATTTTCAAGGCTATGTGGTTTCCCAAAGCTGTCTTCTCCAAAGAAGGGCTAAAATGAAATCGTACCCTGGAAGACAAAAGCCTGTCTCATGTATCTTGCAAACACCGTTGGAACCTGATCCAGTAATCTTTACTTCTGTGACTACTACTAAGTCACCAATGTCATATACCTGCAACTCTGTAAATTAATCACAAGAGTAATGAAAATTTAAGACCACTACAAATATTCCGTCTATTGACATAGGTACAAAATGAACCTTGGAAAAAAGAAAGGTACGCAAATGCAGATTATTACAGCAAAGATTTCTAAGAAGCCATTGGTGATAAGGCTCCCTGAGGTCCAATTCCAGAGATGTCAAACATCCGATCCAAAGAAGCTTGGCAGAATATCAATATCAATGCTCATTGCTTAACAGCAGAATAAATATTAGGATAGGAACAGCCCTGTAGATGATGCCCTTTGGCCCCTTTTGTGTAAAGGCATCAGTGAGAGCACCTTTGTTGGGCTATCTGTATCCTGCAGCTTGAAATTGTGAACTTATAAAACAAACAAAAAAATTAAAACAAAAACAAAACCAGAAAACAGATTCCAACACCTTTTTGTGGGGAATTCTGGCTGGATAGGGTGCAGGACACTCTGTTTGGGTGCCTGTGTGGTTTCTACAGGATGCCAGTAAATCTGCTCTGGCATCCACCTCTTATCTCTAACCCAAGCCAATTCGACATTCCTTTCCTCTGGAGTTATCTCACAGGCAGCGTGAAGGAACACCCTTCCTGAGAGAGTGGCTGATTGTGTCCTGGACCCAGCCATCAGCAAAGGCACCACTTGAAAGGTGATAACCTCTGCCAGCACTTCTAACCTTTTTATTCCTGTTCATGATGCAACAGGTAAATAATCAGACTTTTTTCCCCTGTCAGCCCCCTCCACGGTTCATGAGCTGGTTACCAACAGCTACAGTTGCATGAGAGCAGGAATTCCCTTAAGGGAATTTTTTCAACCACAACTCTGTCCTGAGTTTCAACATTCTTTGCCACGGATCACATGGATCTGACTATAAATGTGCTATTAAACTCCATTCTCCAGCTGTGGGTGGGTTACTTTAACCAGGTGAGCCCTCCCAGTGAAGGTGGCAGGACCATTCCAGCACTTTTTGCTACTCACAGGCTTAAACTGTTTTTAAGTCTGATTCACTGAAACAAATGCCGAAGGGGCGAATAAGGGTGTTTTACCTGCCCAAAATTCCAGGGCCTATCATATATGCTGTATGTAGACCCAACATAGATGTAGCCTGTGTCGTTGAGCACATACTCCTTTCTCTGCGCCTCATCGGCCATGAAGACGGCATCATCTGGAAAAAAAAACCCTCAGAAGATAGGTGGTTTGCACACACACAAAATTTCCCATAGAAAGCTAAACTGGGGGAATCAATGGTCTGCAATATTCACACCAACTAATGACCATGTAGCACTCACATTTTTTTGTTCCTATTGTGGAAGAATTTCCTATAAGATTAACCTTTATTTTCCCCCTGTAGATCTATTGCTACATGACCACTCTTTTATTATAGCAAAAAGCTTATTTCTGAACACTGTAGTGAACTAAGTAGATAGCAGAGAGAACTGGGAAACTGGTTCCAACTAAGAACACGTTTTTTTGTCTGGTTATTTTTTGTCTGCATTTTAAGCCAACTCATTCCTCTCAGTCAACCTTTGTGATGGCTCAGGGAAACAGAGAGGGGTCACAAAGAGGTGCCAACAGAGGTGACAGAGAGATGGTCCTCTATGTCCTGTCACTGGAGAATGCCCAGCATGGAGCTGGCTCTTTGCCATTGCCCAGCTTCCTACTAGCTCCATGAGGTTGTTGTTCGTAGTGTTTTATGGGGAAAGAGTAATGTATGTAAGAAAGAGAGGCAAAATATGAAGAAAAGTTCTGCCAAAGGACAGTCCCTGGCAGCAGTAATTATCAACCCTAGCTGGAGGACCACTCACCTTTACACCAGGGATTGAACAAAAGGTAGATGACACCATTTTCAGGCTTGTAAATGTTAGTCCCAGTCTTCACATTCAAGGTGTATTTTCCCACGGGGGCATTGGGTGAGCTGGTGACAGACAGCAGGCACTGAGGAGGCAACAAGGAGAGATGGTATGAGGGACACTCCACCACGGCTACAGGCACGGCACAAACACGGTGCCACAGGACCAGCAGGAGTGGCAAAGCTGGTGGCCATGGAGCTCCATGCAGGGAGGGAGGGTAAGGCAGTAGGATGGGGCCAATCCTGCCTATGCACGGGGGGAAAAATGAATCAGGCAGGGCAAGGCTGCTGCCCACCTAAAATTATAGGACTAAGTGAAAGCAGGACAGGGGTATGAGGATGATTTGCTCTGTAGCTTCTGGTGGGCTTGGCACTGGGCATTGAGCCCCTTGTCCACAGGCTCTACCTCTTTGCCGTTCTTCTTGACAACGGAGATTTTCCACCCATTGAAATCCTGCTCCTTCTCTGGTTTCAGTGACATCAGGCTTCCCCTGATTTTTGTTGGATTTTCACCTGGAAACAAATTCAAGACAATATGTGGGAGGGTTGCACAGGTCTGCAATGGCTGTGCAGTGCCAGGATCAGGCAGCTGGAGGCTCCCAGGGCTCTCCATCTTTGCCCAATATCTGCAGAAGGGATCCTACTTACCGATGCCAAAGCGCAGTGACAGCTTGTCGGCAGCCCTCAGCTCCCTGTTGAGGCTGACCTGCACATGGAAGGGCTGCCCGCGCCGCACCGCCAGGTTCTTGATGTTGTACCCATCTGTGTGGTGCTCGCGGGTGTTCTGGCTCTTGAGAAAGTCAATCCCAGTGGCCTTCAGACTGGTCCCTGGAAAGACATTAGCAGAAAAGGAGAGAGGAAAAAAAAGAGATTGATGGTAATTGCTCAGTGAAGTTTTCTTCTTCTTATTGCAGCCCTGTGAGTTATCAAAACATCTAGAGAGCCCAGTGATCCAGCAAGAGGAGTCACATTGACTACCACTATATCTAATGGATTATCAAATAATAATTTAACAGTAGCTTTTACTGCTCCTCACAAAATGTAGCACACTCAGTCAAGCAGGGAGTAAACCGAATGTGCCAAAATTCAGCTCCCCTCAATTGTTGAGATCCCCAGTGTCTCTGGGATGCCAAGGGCCTGGGAAATGGCACTCTTCAGGACACTGAAGCTGATTCTTTATATTTCCCCCTCAAAAATTAGTCCCAAATAATATCACAACAGTCATCACTCAACCTCTTATGGATATTCACATATGTGAATATTTGCAAGGTTTGTTTTCTTTTTCCATGGACTTGGTTTCTTCTACAACCTCAGGAACCAAAGGAAGGTTGGAAGCTAGCTGTGCTGCAGAGATGTTGCCTGCCTAGGGGGATGATAAATGTGGGGGGCAAAGCACTATGAATTATAGTATAGTATAATAATATATAATATAATACATTTAATATAACATCAAATATACAAAATATATTAATATTCTTTACTGTGAGGGTGGTGAGGCACTGGAACAGGTTACCCAGAGCAGTTGTGTATGCCCCATCCCTGGAAGTGTTCAAGGTCATGTTGGATGGAGTCTGAGGAACCTGGACTAGTGAAAGGTGTCCCTGTCCATGGTAAGGGGGTTGGAACTGGATGATCTTTTAGGTCCCTTCCAACCCAAGCCATTTTATGATTCTACTGTAATATAAAATAAGATAAATAGTATAAACCAATATAAAATAATATAAATACCCAGAGGTCAACCTCAGACACCCTGGGCAGTGCAGTAGGGAAGCAGAGTCATGCTGCAGCAGTCCAGGGCCAAACAGTAGGAGGTCAAGGCAGGAGGCTGTTCCTACTCCAGGTGGATTGCTGCAGCACACTCACCACAGGGCACTGCCCCCCTTCATGACAACTGGTGCTTTTCCCATTTGACTTCAGTACAGATTTGAACTCCAGCAAGAATCCCTTGCAAGTGCCTCGCTCCCATTCATTCTCAACAGAGCAGCTGATTTTGTAAGACATAATATTTAAAATCACTGTCTCCTCAGCTGCCCTTTACTCCTGCCACTCTGGACAGGAGCAGGGCTGGGAAAAGCCTCAGCAACTCTATGTGCCCAGCAGCTCATGGCTCAGGGCTGTGGCGTAGGAGTGGAGTTCTGAGAGGCACAACCCAGTGATAATGCTTGAGCAAAGAAAAAGCCCTCAGCTTTCAGTGGTGATGGGGATTTGGGGGTCACTGCATCAGGCTTTGGCAGGCTGCCCCGGTATGACAGGGAAAGCCAGAGCATGCCGGAATGTGGCTGAGCTGTATTTCTTTGGGAGCATTTTACCTGTCTTGGACCTGCCCATTAAATATCCTCAAAGGATAAATTCCGTGTGAACAGTAGGGAGTAACAATACCTCATAAGCACTTGTCTCATGAGTGATTCAGACGAAGACATGGGAGAGGCAAAAACGGCTTACGGTAACTTAGAAGTTAGCAAGTCAAAGGCATAATGGCTGAAGGGATTAATTCACCAAATGTCTTGACAGATTTGCATGATACCACGCAACCATGCTAACTTGAGTATCAACAAGAGCCATCCCTAACACTGAAGAGTCTGAAATCTGCTGGTATCTACTGTGGCATGAGAGATGCCACATGCAGGGCTGGACCTAGGGCAGGCTGAAATCAGTGTCACACTTCCTACTGCGACCTGTGCTGGGCAGCAACTGCAGCCTTGAGTAAACTGAACTGACCAGATTACTACCTCTGTGTATTTCTTCTTAGTAACTATATAAACCATATTTATCTTAATTACATTACTGATATCAGTGCCACAGCAAACAGACTTAAAATTGACCAGTACCTTTTGTTAACTGATACAGTTTTCAAGTGCTTTTTGTTTGCTTGCTGCATGCCAGTTGCTGACCTCGGGCTGATGTTTTGTGCAACGAGGTGTGCATGTGTTTATGGCAAAAAATTTTAGCTGGAACTAGCTGCATAATCCTCTTGAGGATGAAGAAGACGTCCATATTCCTTAGCATTAAGAAATCTGCAAACACTAAAGCTGCTCAACCTTGTTCTTTATGGAAACCCTGGTGGTGTGCTGAGAAGATATCAGAAAATAGCCCTGGTGATGTGAGAGGGCTACGAAGAGATGTGGGACTTGAATGCATAGGATGGCTGTGGGAAAGGGCTCTGGGGAATCCATCCTTCCAGCGTTTCTTAACTTAGGAATTGCATTTCCATCCCCTGTTTCTGGACATCACCAATGTTTAGGATGCATGGAGAAAATCTGCAGACAACAGCTGCCTTGGAATATGGCCTGACAATGCTGCGCAGTGCCAAAGACCCGTCTCTGCTCAGCACTGCCCATCAATTGCACTGAATTTATTCCTGTGCAAACACACCCGTGACACCCTATGATCCGACTGGCACGGTGTCCTGCGCCAAGGAATGCCTCAGAGCGAGCCAGTGGCGCACCCATCACCACATCCGAGGGGGCTTGGCCACAGCCTGTCTTCCCTGGGCAATCAACAACCTGCTGCTTTCAGCTTCCTGCTCTGCTCCCTGGCCAGGGCACGGAGCTGGGCACCCACACACCCCTAATCCAGCTGCCTGCAGGCACCTCCACTTGCCAACACGGAAATTAATGATTTACAGCAGAGCTGAACATGCCAAGAATGCGCCCGCTCATGGGATGGAGGCTTGAGCTGCAAGAGGCAGTCCTGTCTGCTCTTGCTCCTGGGGCAATACAGAAGCAAACCCAAATCCCAAATGCTGTCAGATTTTTTTCCTTCTTTTTTTTTTTTTACAGAAGAAATTTCAAGGCAGTATTTTTATCTCCTAGTTCAATGATATATCACTTATAGAGCTTGTTCCTACACTAACCCGCTGCTCCCATTGCATTGCTACCTGCTTGGAGAGATGTTCAGAGCTTCAAGAGCACAGTGATCAACCAGAACAAAATTGGGTACATGAGGACTTGGCACCGGTAAGGATCTGGGGCTGATGATGAGGTGATGGGGTTTAAAAAGAAATATTAACACGGAGCAGAATATTTATAGTAGGCCTGGTTTCAGTGGGAACAAGGGCTGCTCAGAAGGACAGGACAGAAGTGGGATGAGGACTGTAGTTTTTTCAAGAGAGAACAAAATTTGGATACCCGCATTTACTCCCGATCCTTGCCCAACCTCCAGGTAAACACTCTCCCATCCCAGAGATGTGAGATCACATCCCAAGGATGCTGCTGTTCAAGACTTCCTGGAAAATTTCAGCTCATACACAGAGTAGAGAGGTGTGAAATTGAGGGGCTTGGAGTGGTGTCAGGACACCCTTCCCCTCCTGAAGGCTGTGGAGCGATGCTCCCAACTCTGCTGTAGGCACTTCCCAGCCTGCATGTGCAGCTGCTCGGCTACATCCCAAACCACAAGGATTTTGGACACCCTGGCGTTGGGCTGGCCGGTGGTGGTGGTTCAGCAGCTAAACAGGAGTGACTCAGGCACCTTTCTAGGTAGGTGCAGGATCTCCTGAGAATGGGGCAGGCAGGACAGCCATGGGATGGAGCTCAAGTCCAAATAAATCCTCTTTTCAGTTATTTTGCAACTTCCATCAGATGCTATCAACTGTCACTAGAGAACAATAATCTACATGATTAAGTAACCTGAAACAAGATAAATTCTTTTAACCTTGACATGGAACAAGATTAAAAGAGCTGCATTTCTTTCCCATCATTGATAGAACCACATGTCTAGAGGTTGATGAAAAGTGATGAAAAATGGGTTGCATTATTCAGTTGGTTTACCAATCTGTCAAAACCAGAATTTGCACAGCCAGAGCAAACTGATCCCCCATGAGCAGTGGTGACACCAAAACTCCTTTCCCCAAGGTGTCACCCATGGCAATTAGAGGGGTGAGAATCTCTGGAGCTGCCATCCTCCTTGCAGTAGACTTGCCAAACCACACATCTAACATATCATATCACACAGTAAAAACTCACCAGCGATGCTGCTCATGGTTCTTGTCAAAGTTTCTACCCGAGATACCTGCGATGCCAGCAGCTTCCAAGCTCCTGAGTAGTCTCTGCCACTTGATTCTGACTGGGGAAGAGGAAGACAGGCTGCCCTTTTTATCTGTATCTTGCTCTGAGGTGTCAGCCAGTCCACTGCCAAGGGGTGGTGTTTAGAGAAAGGAAGTTCCCGTGGAAAAAAAAAATGACTACAACTCCCTCTGCACATAGTCAGACTCTGAAAAACAGCGAAACTTAAATCCCGACTCACATGGAAGGTGATTTGCACAATCAGATGACAAGTGGACAGACCCTTCACTGACAAACAGTAAAATCATGGGCTAGATGAGTAACAAGAATTCACCTATGCCCTAATATCCAGGTCACCAGGACTGCAGCTCCAATGCTAACTTTACAAGGAAGCCCACAAACATTTAATCCTTAGGAAAACAGAGTTCCCATTAGGACCAGTCTAATTTTCTTTGAAGTTAATGAGATTTTTGTCATCACATTTGGGACAGAAGCTATGGGCTAAAATCCAGAATTTACACATATGGGTTGGAAAGCTGAAGGATCCTGATGCTGCCCCCCTCCCCATAGGGTGAGCCGGATGTCAAAGGAGATAGCCCAGTGGGAGCACTAAGTGGGAAAGAGGAAGAACATGCTATGTCCAGGAGGAGAAAGAAATGTGATGGAACAGGAGCTGTTTGCTGGCTGCTCTTTGCTGACAGTGGTACCAAAGAAGGGACTCTGCTTAGGAGGTGGTTGGACCCCACATGCCCCACTGCCACCATGATCCTTGGGGTGACTGAGGATGGAGAAATAAGTCTACCCCACAGAGGGGAGAGTTGATGGTATACAGGCCAACAGTGACATTGGCACAATGAGATGACAATGAGATACAAACACGTCCCCAGATACCTAGAAATGTAGAGGTGCTTCAGCTGTGGGAGCAGCCTCAGCCCCCTGATGCCTCCATTCATGGCAGCATCCCAGAGTCCAGCAAGGTAGGATTCCATCCACAAGGCTGTCACATCTAATGCAGGATGTCCCTAAACATGATCTGCCTGTGGAAGCCTTCAAAGGCACCGACTTTTCTCCATCAATTCAGATCACTCAGTTATTTACTTTAGGAGGACTGCTTCATTTGGTGCGAGCTAGGAGCTGAGTTAGCAGATGCCACCCTTTGAGCATGTCACTGCTTGTTGGCAAGTGTATGTTGGGTGTCCTTACTTGAGAGCATGACTAGCGCATCACAGGGCACCGAGGGTTCAGTACACATCTATAATCTCGCAGGACATCTGCAAGAACATCTGAAACACCAATGTTCTTAGTAGATGGAGCATCACTCACCATTCAGCATCAGACAATGTGCTGGCAACTACATATTTCACTATTGACAAAAACACTGCAACCCCAATTTACCTTTCAGCATTGCTTTTATTTTGCACTTCCTTCCTCCTGCAGAGTGAAAGACATTTTTGTTTAGAAGCAGTATGGGATGAAGTAAAGTATACGTGGAATGTCAGTACAATAACATAACCAATAATGCATGTAATCTGAACATTTATGATGTATCTTACTGGTTTCCACTGAATTGCAGGAACAGAGTAATCCATTTCATCTGAAGTCACAGACAGTACCTTTCTAATCCAGTCTCAACCTGTTTTATATATCATTCTATGCTTGGTTGGAGGTATCTTAAATTGTGTTGACACACTACTCCTGCAGCAAAAACTACAGATTTTTGCAAACAGGAACAAATTGATGTAACATTTTGCTCTGGAAGAAAATTTTGTTAGATGTGTGCTGGAGGGTGAGCAGGAGAGGCAGGACATGTATTCACCAGGGACAGTCATACTTTAGTCTTATGGGGTTTTGCAAAAGACTGATTTCAACAGTGTGCATGTTCTGACCCTCACTTTGAACCTCAGAGTTCAAGGAAAGATTGTAGAAGTTATGTGGGTGTGGATTCTGCCCTGCCATGAACCTACTCCATCTTGGAAGGTGGCTGACATTTTTTTGTTTTTATCAGCAGACTAACACCTACCTTTCAGTTCTCCTTTCGCTTTGTGCAGCTGCTGGCCTTGCCTTTATCTCTTTATGTTTTTCTATGCACTAGTAGTATCTCAATTCAACAAAACTAAACTTGGCATATGGTTCTGCCCCTGGCTCGTACAAGTTTGCCCTGCCAGGAAAAGCCATTGAACCCTAATACTCTCCAAGACAGTTGTTGGCAAGGTCCAAGAAAAGGAATTTCAACTTAAACTACAGGAATGTTTTTAAAAGACATGGTTTCAACTTCTTTAATGTTGTCAGAGGGTGCTCTCTGTCTTCTTACAGGCAAATATCCTTTTATCTTTGCTGGTCAGAGGGCTGGCTGTGGTTCAGCAGTTTTTCTTCCTCCTTAGTGAGGCAATGAAAAATACCATCCCTTATTAATTTCTTTTTTAAAAAAATCCCCCCCCAAAGTTGTAAGTTAATCACTTCAATCCGTCTCATAAAAGTACATGCTTAATTACCAGAAGTAGGAGATTTTTTTTTTTGCAGGCAGTCTTCCTATTACCAGTAACTTCAGCAACTCACTTCCCAGCTTGCAAAATCAAACAGAGGCGATCAGCCTTATCTGCTTCTATCTGTTGCAAGGTCACCTTATTAGCTGGAATAAGAAGGTAATAAAAGGAAAACAAATAAAATAGAATTCCCAAGTGGCTGCTCCCCTATTTACAAGCTTGCCCTTTGTCTCAGGTTTTGTTTATTTTGTGTATCAAAAATGACAAAACAAGTCAAACTTCCAGAGCACAACCACAGGCATTGATGCCAAGTAGGAAAGACATAAGTGCAGCCCAATACTTAGCTTTATATTTTTATGCATTTGCAACCCCATGTCCAGCTATTGGAGAAGTTGCCTTTTATAATAGGCAACATTTTAATAATGTACAGACCTACATTTTTTATAAACATCAAGTTGCTTCTGTTTTGTAGTTTGGTTTTTTTTTTCAATGGCCAGTCAAAGTAGCACTCAAAATAAAACACAGATCAAAAGCACCACAGTTTTTCTTTTTGGCACTCTGGAAAGGTGAACTCATCCTCCCAACCTCTCCATGGAATTGCTCTGAGGGGTCAGAGAGTGAGCAGTGCATCTGGCAAGGTACACACAGATACAGCTCCTGTCTGGGTCCTGAGGGGCACCATGGTGAGAAGATGTCTCCCACTGAACACAACAGGACTGCTCCCACATGTATCATCTAGTATGTGTTGAGTCCTCCCTGAATCACAGCCTAGGGAATGATAAGTAATAAGAAGTCTTGAGGGAATAAAAAGAAAAAAAAAGCACAGATGGAGAACAGCTGAGGATCATCTGGTCCATCTCTTTTGAGCTGGAACTGATTGAAGTGCTACATTGGTCCTTCTCTCATAATTTCATTAAGCTTGTATCTCAGTCTTTAGGAATGTCCTAGTATCGGGACACATCACATCTACCTAATGATCCTGACATGCCAGTGCTGCTGTTACTCTGAAAGGAGCATTGATTTGATCGCTTCTCACTCATGTACACCAATCATGGGCCATGACGGTGGCCTGTGCCTCCAAGGCATTCCATGTACCCAGCAGGCAGATTCTCTTCTAATCTAACATGAGCCAACTTGTGGCAGGCGTTCGGACGTCAGGGGTTGATGTAAGATGGCCAAGCCCAGGTCTTTACTGATTCCAAGTCATCTGGCCCCAGCTACCTGGTAATGAGTTTCTCACAGGCAAATACCAGAGAAGTGATTGATGCCAATAAAATTATTACAGAAATTCCACTGTTCCATAGAATCATAAAATCATAGAATATCCTGAGTTGGAAGGGCCCCACAAGGGCCATCGAAGTCCAACTCCTTCCTTCTCACTGAACATTGAAAGAGGGTTTCTGGACCTAAAGTTAAGGGTATAGGTGACTGGCTTTGGGCAGCTACCTACAGAAGGAATGAAAACCATATCACTCTGTGCCCAACCCACCACCACCCAAGGACTCTGCTCCTGAAGAAGGTAAAGACAGAGATCAAACATAGACCATAACTACACATATATCAAATGTAGGCTTAGGGTTTCTCAGGCAAAATGCTCTTGTGTAGTGCCTTCTGTGCCCTGAAAGAGAAGTCCTGGGGGCATGACAGATAAGTGAGGTTTTAGGCCATTGAAAAAATACAGAGCTGCCTTAAGAGCAAGCCAACATGCTGTGATGTTAAAATGTTTTTTTAATGGTTATTTTTCAAGATCCCTTCCCTGGCTGAGATGCAAGACGAAAAACTGCAATATCAGTCCAGATATATGGAGCAATGATGTTGAACTTGGAATTACAGTACTATGGCTGCTTGACCCTCAACTCTGGTTCAGCTGTTGCACTGGAAACACTGAAATATCTGAAATACAGTGAAATGTACTTGTCTCTTTCAAAAAGTGGTAGTACCATCTACTGCGCCGTACTTACTACCACTCTTCCAGCCCTTCCCTCCCACTGATACATGTATGCTCCAGTGCTGAGACGTTCTGTATTAATCAAAAATGACTCAGGATAAAGTACTTCTGCTTCTCAGAAAAACCTTCAGAATTTTGCAAGAAATTACAAAAAAATATCTCCATCATGTCACTTTTTCCAGAGAACAGCTTTTTTAAGAATAGAATTGCTCCCTTTTTGAACCTGAGGACCCGGTCAGCCTCTGGTGTTTCCTGCGGGCAGAAGTTCCTCGGCTGAATGACACACTGCAGGAAGAAGAAGCTCCTCTGACTTTGAAGCTGCTGCTTGCTGGCTTCTCTTGTGGCCCCCATCCTTGTGTCAGAGGAGACAATTGACAGCTATCCCAGCTTACTTTTTCCACACAACTCATGGTCTTCTCAGCCCCTGTTATAAACCACCACCACCTCTTTTTCACGCTGAACAGCCCTAGCCTGCTAACTCGCTACTCACACCTTTGTCCCACTCCATCGAAAGACCTGAGATAGGGAGAAGGACCTCCCTCACCGTGCCATCCTGTAAACCACAGTGTGTGTTTGGAAAGGGCCCAACGGGGTGGGTGCAGTTACTCCAGGGCTGTATCCACCCTACTGCCACTGACCCATGGACGTGCTTGCATGTATGACCACACTGAGTGATTGCAGTGTGAACATAGCCACAGCCTACACCTAAAGCAAACAATATGAAAAGGCACGAGGAAAAATAAAGCAAAAGAGGGCTGCAAAAAATAAATGGTAAGGGCAAGGAAATCAACAGCACAAATATTGAACCAGGGATAAATTAGTTTATCCATGTATTAAAAACAGCTCCAGCGAACAAGGAAAATACTGACAGAATACCTTCCCACCCACAGGATATGTGTTTGGTTGCAAATGTCTAAGTGAGAAAACAGAAACTTGCATGCCAGTGTCTTCGAGTAACATTTCTTTCTGCAGGGGTGGTGTAACAGCTTCTCCCACCTGTCTGTGTGGGTGTGTATGTCTATATACACCTAGATGTACATAGTCTACAGACTACAGATCACATTATGTCATGCCACATTCCCACCAGACAGCACTGTGACTGAAATTGTCATGTGGTGGGAAGGGAGAACCTTCATAGACCAAGATCTGCAGGAAGGAGCTGATCCTATGCAGTGCTGGAGATCTGGCTCATGCACTGTACTGGAGCAGATCCAAAGCATAGCAGGTGCAAAGGTTTAGGCCCACCCTTGCACACGAGGCTGTCGTGTGTCTCCTTGGTATGGTGGGACTGACTGAGGGCAAGAATCTGTGGCTATTTTTCCTGAAAAGCAACCAAACTGGCATACTCCCACCCATTCCTTGTCACAGCATGTGGGTTGTTGTCCTTCACAGCAGGTCACAGTGCTCTCACCTTGGTGGACAGTTGGAGTAGCTCCACGCCCACCAGGGTTTTCTAGGAAGCACTTTCATGCAGCACTGGTTCCTGGCAGAATCATGCTTGTGAGTTGCCTAACTCTAGAGTGTCTTGAAGGGAACGAGTCATCCAAAGTAGCTCCTCTCTGGATAAGGAAACAGTCGACTGGCAGTGGAAAATGTGGCATTTGTAATGCCTCATCCTTCCCTGGGGCACTGCTCATTTCTCCCTAAGTGTTGCCTTGACTTACTGAAAGCAATTTCAATTGAAGCCCTACCTGGTGTTCAGACATTGCACACTGCGGGTCACAGTGCTAAGCGGAGCTGTCCGACCCTTACCTCTCCCTGCAAAACCGGAGATGCTCTGCTCATGCCAGGGGTGGACCCAAGCTGCTCACACGGCCAAGCCCCAGCCTTGACTCCCACTGGCAGGATGAAACCACAGCTTGTAGTATAGTGACCTTTGTGCCAAGTGAGACTGAGCAACAGGTTCAAAATGTATTTGTCTCTTCCAAAAACTTACTACCACTCTTTCCAGCCCTTCCCTCTCACTTATTTTCATTGTCATGGATTTATCCCCACAGGGTGCAGTGGAGCCTCTGTGTCGTGCAGGACCCGAGCAGGGCTGAGCAGGGTGTGCATCATCTCCCCGAAGCAAAATGGGAGTGAGAGGCCCCACCCAGGAGCTCCCCAGGGTTTAACCCAGAACCAGCAATCCCTCAGGACTTCAAGGGCGTGAAGGGAACTACTTAGGAAGTTTTGGCAATTAGTACAGCCACTCACAGACACCTTTCCTTAAACGTCAAGGAAAAACTGAAACATCTAAAAGGGTTATTAAACAGTCAGGAACCAAAAAATTTTCTGGGAAAGTGAACTGCATGTCTGGTTCGCTGATCCACGGGGCAAACACCGTCCTGTGTATGCCAAGTGCTGCTACTGGACATGGGTGACTGTGGGATGGAGTACCACAAGGTCCAGGTTTCCCTGTCACCCCCCTCAGCCAGCCCATGCTGGGGTGCTGCACTGGTCAGCATTGCCCCGTCCTGGAAGCCATTGCTTGCATTGCACCCACCTGGATGTCCCCTTGCCAGGCAAAGGTTCAAATTCCCAAAGCCCTTCACTATCAGAGCTGAGTACGGTGGGGTCCTTCTCCTTTGATAAATTTGTTTTCAGGCTATGAATGTATATGCAAGTGTCCATTATGGTTTCTGTGGTTAGACAACAAGCCTCTAGTGACCTAGGTCTGTATGATGCCTCAAGGAGGCACAGCAGGATTTAATGGGAACTGATAAACATGGAGGCAGAAGGGCAAACCAGTTTCCATTATAGATGGTGTTGACCATGAACTCAGTCCCTAGGTCACAGAGGATCCAGCCATCTGCCCAAATGCGATGGTCACCAACACTAGATTGGGTCACTTGAGGTCTTTCTCTAGCTGAGCCTTGAAAACCTCCATGGGTTTTCATACTGCCTCTGTGGGCAAGTAACATCCTAGTGACATTTTTTCCTCTGACGGCCATCTTAAAAGTCCCAAGACAGAACCTGTGCCTGCTGCCTCTTTTTGTACTGGCCACTTCTATGTTGCCCCTGTAACTCCTTTCCAAGCTCATGTCAGCTGTTAATAGGATCAGCCTGAGCCTCCCTGTCTCCAACCTGCCCACATCCCTCAGCCTCTCCTCACAGTCTCCTGCCATCTTGGTATCCTTGAGCCAGACCAGTTTCCTATACCCCTCTTAAACTTGGGGGTCCAGCGTTGGAAAAAACAGCCATTGACTATGTCAGGGCCCTGAGGGCACCACTGAGACTGGCTTCCCCTGCCCAACCCCACAGCTTCCCTCTCCACCCTGCCCATGGCCCAGGACCCCATTTCAGATTTCACAAGCAGGTCACTGACCTTTGTTTTTTGGTGTTAAAAGTATCTAGAGCCTTAGAAAGGGCACTGAAACACCCAGCCTAACAACCACCTACTGTCTGAATCTAGAAGGTTTTGTTTTACAGTCTAAAATACTTTTTCCTTCCTCAGTAATGCATTTTCAGGAATGTTATCTTCTTCAATCCTTTTCATTAAAAAGTTACGTGGTACAATGCCCCACACACTCAATTTTTAAGGGCAAAGTTCTGGTTCTCCCGGGAAAGCTTTTACCACTGACCTGAGCTCACCCCAGACTTTTCTCTGAGACCAAGCGAGCTGCAAGCACCACAACACTTGCTGTAAATGAGTGCCCACCCTGTGCGACTTCTCTCTGCAACTCCCAGATCCCCAAAACGAAGGTTTGCTACTGCTCTTCTGTGGACGGCAAGCAGAGCATCTGATACCTGAAACACGTCAGAATTAGTACCCATTTACTCCTAACTTCATGGTTTTTTTGTGCCAGACACGGTTGGAGCCACAGCACCACTCTTCCAGTGTGTTGCATCACCAGGACTTCCTTCTTCGAAAACACCCCACTGGTTGCAAGATTGTGGAATTATGTGTGTGTGTGTGAGACACTCTTGCAATGTGATCTGAGGTTTCTGAAGGGTCAACAGAGGGCACTGAACCAAATTCCTTGGAAATTTTAACTATACCACACTCAGCAGAACAATATATCTTATATATTGCATCTACTTCTACTACTTATCACCCAGGCAAACATACTATCCTTCAAGTTATTTCAGTATATGCTGTGACTGAGATGCTGTACAAACTTTCCAAGTTTCAGTGAATTCTTGTCAATGACATCAGGGACATTTTAAAGTTTTTATGTATATTTCCTTATCTAATCAGTCAAATTATGCTTTAAGGTTCAACTGAAATGCTAATTTCATTGGGCTTTGTTCCTTGTAAAGGTATACAAAGTATTATTTACCTTAGAATACAATACTCTTGGACTTTGTTTATACAATAAATTTTTAAAACACACTGTTAATTCAAGAACACTTACTTCAATCTTCATGAGTGTCATTGTGAGCCTTCCTGTTAACCATGCACCTGCTTCTTCTACTGTTTAAAGAATGACATGGTATAATAGCCCTGTTTGAGGAAAATATGACGAACAAGATGCTGAAAAATTAGGATTGTGTTCAAGAATGTGGGGAAGGTGCAAAAAGACTCATTACAGCCAGCACTTGTGAGATCAGAGAATCATGGAACAGTTTGGGTTGGAAGGGACCTTAAAGATCATCTAGTTCCAACCCCCACTGCCATGGGCAGAGACATCTCCCACTAGACCAGGTTGCTGAGAGCTCCATCCAACCTGGCCTTGAACACTGTGAGGGATGGGGCATCCACAACTTCTCTGGGCAACCTGTTCCAGTGCCTCACCATGCTCACAGAAAATATTTTTTTCTGTATATCTAACCTAAATTTCCACTCTTTCAATTTGTACTCATTACTCCTTGTCCTATCACTACAGTTCCTGACAATGAGTCCCTCTCCAGCTTCCCTGTAGGCCCCCTTCAGATACTGGAAGATTGCTATGAGGTCTCCACACAACCTTCTCTCCTCCAGGCTGAACAGCCCCAACTCTCTCAGCCTGTCTTCATAGGGGACGTGCTCCAGCCCTCATATCAACTTTGTGGCCCTCCCCTGGACTTGCTCCAACAGTTCCATGTCCTTTGGTGGAGTTCTCAGAGCTGGATGCAGTATTCCAGGTGGGGTCTCACAAGAGCGGAGTAGAGGGGGCAAGTCACCTCCCTCACCCTGTTGGCCATGCTGCTTTTGAAGCAGCCTAGGATTTGGGCTGTAAGTGTACACTGCCAGCTCACGTTGAGTTTTTCATCAACTCAAGTCCTTTTCCACCAGGCTGGTCTTAATCACTTCTCTGCCAAACTTGCAGGTGTGCCTGGGATCAAATACGTCTCCCCAATTCATACAGAACAGTGTGTAACGTTTTGTACATGCCTAGGTAAACAATGTTAGTTGCTTTTCCCCTATCCACCAATGCTGTGTATACAGCATTGCAAACAAAAATGTATTTTTGTGAGATGTGCAAACAGAAGTGTATTTTGCTGGAATTTGAGTGGAAATGTGTGCCCAAGATTCTCCTCTAAAAACACAAAGTGTGCAAAAACTCCATGCAAGCACACTACTGCAGTTCTCACATAAGGGTAACCCACCTTCTGCCCTGGCAAACCAAAGTCTTAGAGTTGCCCATGATCTTCAGCCACCTTAAAAAGTCCACCACATCTGAACCACTGACTTGTCAAACCTAGCTCACTCACTAGTCTCATATCACCTTTTTTCATGTGTGTGGTTTAAAATATCAGTAAACAATAAATTTCAGCCACTGAGCTTTGGACACTGTTTTATTTTGAAAATGTCGGTGCTCCTTTTTGAGGTGACTTCCAGACGCATTTTGGATGATCACACTCAAAGTGTTTCCCAAAAGCACACCGCTTTGACACTGCAGTGATTGCAGCCTTCCTTGCAGCCCTGGTCCCACTGGCAGACGTTGGACAAACCCTGTGTACACAGAGGACGGAGATTCTGCCATAAAACGCACCTTGTTTGGCAATCTTTTCTTCCCATGGGAACTGGAGGAAAACTCACTTCTGTTCCTGCCTTCAAATATTTATGACAGAATTAACAGCCCTAGTTTGTTTATCTGTCCTAAAAGTGAGGATCACCAAGTAAAGTGCTGCCCACACCTTCTGCACATGAGCAAACATCTCCTAAACCTTAATCTCCAACAATGATGGTAATAAAGAAATGTCAGTTTTCAGATATTCCATGTTAAAAAACTTTCCAAATGGTTTGTTACGAAATGGGGCTCCAGCCAAATTAACCAGAGAGTCTAGTCCTTCTACTGCCATTTGCATGAAGGCAGCCATGGCTTACAGCTGGCTGAGAGTTAATAACAAGGGTTATTATCAGACTTCAATAATTTTCCATCGTGTATGAAGATCTAAGGAGACCTGATGTACTTAGAAATGCAGAGTTCCTGGCTGTCATGTCTGTAGACCTATGAGGGACTGTGTCAAGTCACGGTTTCCCAGGTGGCTGGATGTGTCCCACTCTATCACAGCTGCTACCCAAAGAGCTGTGCTTCTCAAGGGTGAAGACCCATGTTGGTAAGAAGGAAAGGTACTCAGAGCACTTTGCCCTCTCCCCCACCACATATGCCTCTCTCCTCTTTGAGGACAAGACTTAGGAGCACACAAGTGTAAAAGGCAAAGGCATTGCCCCTCCTGGGACATGGCTGCCACATGTGGTGAGCTAGGATGGTCTCCTGAAGCAGGGGGCTTGGAGCAAACAGCTCTTGACCTCTTCTGGGGACTTTCCTTCTTTCTGATACAAAGATGAAAAAGGCATGAACCCAACTCCAATGGCATTTCCATCCACAAGTCTATTTTATGCTCCTGCTTGACACGGCATATCTGCCAGTCATGATAGACCTGACAGGTTCTGATATGGAGGCTCACAGAAATGTGTCCTTAGGTTTTCTGCACATGCCACAACTATGACTCACTTTCTGTGGTTACAAGAAGACAGAGACAACCTAGCAAGCTCAGAGGAAACAAGTGATATGCCTGAAATGTATGAATGATGCATACATTTACAGGCATCATTATATTTCTCAATTAGGATTCCAACTACAGAAAATTTCCAAGAAAAAAAAAATGTGGGCCGATATCTTACAAATGATGATTCATGACACATTCACCATTTTGACACCTGAATATGGAGTAATCACTGATGCAAAATCTAGCAGATATCTGGATACCAGTCATGTAGTTGATCACACTGCATGAATGGGAATCAGCATCATCCAGAGGTGTAAAAAAACCACTGCTTGAGAAAATTAATTTTACCAAACATTAAAGAATTGTCAACTTCAGTGGGATGGGGGATGTGTTGAACATGGACAGTCCCAGTGAAAGCAGTTGATTCTTCACATGCTGCCTGTTGTATTGTACCAAAATTACTGTTTGACCTACACACAGTAGGAATGGTGAGCAAAACCCCATCCTGGTTAAGGGTTTAAAGGAAAGAGCAGCAACCTTACAATGAGTAAGATGTCAGGAATGGGTAAGTGAATATTAAAGGTGTCAGATACAAATTGCAAGTTAAAAGGTGTATGTGAATGATAGAGGAAGCTGAAGGAATTACTGAAAGGCTCCACAGCATTATAGGCAGCAGCAGGCATGGAGCCATTTCAACAGACAGGAAAGTCAGGAACAGCAGAACAGAAATATCAGCTGCCTTCAGCATCTACTTCTGATTGTGATTCTATTTTGGGATAGATCCTTTCATGGAAAATAACTAATGCACAGGCACCTTCCACAGCCACCATGTTTACTTTCAGCCTTCCCTGAACTGGGAAAGCTCCACAGCCGCAGGGTGTGAAGAGGAGGAGCAGCTGATAAGCCTCCGGCCCTGATTTTCACAATACTGACTCAGAGTGGATCGGCTCCCTCCGAGGCTGTCACTGCCACCACAACACTGCCAACCTGCCAGTAAAGATGCAATCAAGGTGACTTTGCAAGTCAGCAGGTCAGCAAGTGAGCAGGGGTTAGCAGGTCGACGTGTTCAAAGGTCGGTGGGGACTGGGGACGCCATCATGAGACAGGCTGAAGAGGGGCAGCACAGCACCATGCCCCCTCCAGCAGCTCTCACTCCTTCTTCTCCGCTGGGACCTGCACCAGCTGGGGCGCAGCTGTGTGCAGCAGCATGAGCCCGCAGAGTGTAGTGGAGAGGCCGACCCACCACAGAGGCGACCATGTCTCCCCGAAGAGCAGTTTGCCCAGGACTGCCTGAAGGAAAAGAGAGACAAAAAGCTTTGCTGGGCTGAGCTGCTCCAAAGCCTCCTGCACTGCCAGAGCTGTGAGGATTTCTACTGCAAGAGACGGTCCTGGGAAAAAAAACGTGCTTGAGGAAACTCATGCTGGGGCGACCAACAGAAACGGCTGCTGCGGGTGATGCTGGAAATGACTGACTCTACCATCCAGCCTGGAAGCACAGCTATACTGTGGTCCCAAAGCAGGACCTTGGCAGATGCATGTGTGCTTTGCTGCCTTCCCATCACTTCTCAGGAGCCAAATCTCCCATTGACTGGGCAACTCCAGTCGATTATTGGACACCACCATAAGCTGTCTGCCAGTTGGAGCACAGAAACAAGGTGGACTGCTGCCAAGAGTGAAAAGCAAGCAGAAAAAACCTGCAGGTCAAAGATCCTCTTGCTGTCACTAGTGGCAGTGCATCTTCACACCCAGCTAGGGTGACTCTGGCTTGTCACAGGTGAGGTGTTGCAAAGGAAAAGCAAAACAAAGCAAAGCAAAGCTTCTGGCTCTGGCTCTCACTGGCAGTTATCAAAGTTCAGCTGTACAGCTGCTGCAAGGCACCATGCTGGGCAGCAGTGCTCCTCCTCCTGCACCATCCAGAAAAGTTCCACTGCTTCTGCCATGAACAACTATCAAAGCAGCTGGGGTCTGATGCAATCATTTCATGTCTGCCTGTAACCCTTCCTTTGTGGCCACTGGTGGTGGTTCTGCTAGGAGATAAGCTAAGACCAGTGGCAGCCAGTGCGAGCATTCTCACATCGCTGTGCTCCTCAGGCTTCAGCGCCTGGGGAAGAGATCTACTCACCGAAGAGATGAAGTTGGAGGCTGTTGTTGTCACAGAAGCAGCAGCCGAGGAGGAAGAGAGTCGCAAGGCTTTTGCAAAGACTGTCCACATCACTGCATTGCACGCAAACACCAAGCCAACACAGCTGACACGAAGCAGAACTGGCAGCTGCAGGACAAAAAGGAAAAGCCTGTGTATTTTCACCTCACTAATTCATGGGCACTTTGGAGCCAAACCCAACGGCATGGGCTTTTGAAGCTGAATTACAGCTGCTATTAAATGAAGGTGAATATATAACTCACAGAAGGAAATGGAAATGAGGAAACAGCCCTGGACAGAGCGTGAGCCCGGTGTGTCCTGCTGTGAGTTCAGCCTCAGACTACAGGCTAGGAAGCGCTAGGACAACGTGCAGCAGCTGCTACGCCAGAAGCCAAATTTCAGAACACTCTTCAGCTCATGATGTGGTGGACACAAAATGCAGGGATATGCCCTCATCACTGTACATATACAGATGTATAGAAAATGGTGAAATTCAGAACTGACAGGGACAAATACCAAAGATGTAAATGCCAGCGCTGTGTGGGGTCCAGGACCTAACTGTTGTGAATTTGGACTGAGACCCCAGTGGTCCCAAAGCACTGGTCCTCACCAGCTCCCTGGTCTGCATTACTGCTGCAGTGAGGGCAGAGCAGAGATCTCTGTGATGAAAGGGGCTTCATGCCTTATCTTGCACACTCACTGGAGAGCAGATTTACTGAGAGGTCTCTACTCCACCATTTAGCAGCAACAAAACCACCTCTGAATTCAAAGGTTGTCAAGGCCAATTAGGTCCTCAAGAAAGACCTCCCTCCTTAGACAATCTAACCAGACACGTAACAGCCTCAGTCTGAAAAAAGGGCACAGTTGTGCCTAAAAAGTCCTCACCATTCACAGTCTCCCTTGCCCCCTCCTAGTTTAAGCTACTGAGGCCATCTCCCAGCCCCTGGATACCATGTAGTTGACGTGAAGACACCAAGGGAGATCACAGGCAGAACACGACTCTCACAAACGCTCAGGGAACACACAAGGACAAAGGAAAGCAAATCTTTGTCTAAGCCCGTAGCAATCATGGCTTCACAGCCTATCACCTTTCAGTCCATGGTGGGATTTGTCTTGAAGAAGACAGAAATGTAGGTGTGAAGTCACCAAAAAACACAGCTAAGAGGTGGTACCTGCCCCATGGGAATGGCTGCACTGCAGCCCCCTACCAGCTGCTCAAATCAATGGGGGCCACCAACTGTGCTCTGCTCCCACTCAGAAGAAAAAAATTATATACTGCAAGCAGACAGGGATTTCCGAAGCAAGCGATGTTGCAAGTACAAAGTTAAAAGGAAAAGACTGCAAAGAAAATCCCTGCTCGATGGCTGGCGCAAGCTCTCCGAGGCTAAAACCCCATTCCAGTGAGCGACAGTGCAGGTGTGTGGTCTCATTTTGCCCCACCTGTGGCAAAGGTCTCCAACTTGATAAGGGCAACAGTTGAAATCCAATATCACTCCCACCAGTGAAGCCCTTGCTTTCCTATCCACCCTGGCCAACCCTGTAGGGAGAGATAAGAGAGACAACCATTCCCCGACACTACCACTCCTCTGAGGATGAAAACTTCTGCCATGTTATGGCTGTCCACGGAATGGGGTTTGCCTCCCAATTTCATCCTCTGCCTCTATTACCAGACAGTTTTACCTTCCTAGGGGCAGTTATGTACATCCACATACCTCTAGGGGGTAGGCAGATCTGGGAGTAAAGAGATGAGAGGGCAAAACAATTCTCCGTGTTTCACCTAAATTCAGTATATTTCCATAGTCCAGGGGTTGGACTAGAGACCTCCACAGGTCTTGCCTGACTGGAATTAGTCTGTGAGACTATCAGTGGTGAAACAAAGCTGGCTCCCACCATCACAGCAACTATGCTATGTTCAAAAGTGACCTTGAACCCAAAGGTTTTTATTCTGATCTTCTTCTATTGCAGAGCCAGGGAAATCAGCTGCAGTATGCTCTGCAGGTGGTGCATGCCCAGAAGGAAGGTTTATCAGAGAAAGGTCAAGTCCCTTTGCACCTCGGGCAGTGGAGTGGTCATCCCAATGGCATGCAGACGGAGAGACAGGAACATCCCCACGTGTTTCCTTCCGCACAAGGAAGGAGGGAGATATAAATTCCTCCCCAGCTAAAGACTCAGCTGAGCCACCCCAGTGAGTCAAGGATTACTGTTCTGATTGCTTTTCTAAGCATAGATTAATTTCAGTGTACATTTCAGATAATCCAGAATCACTCCTGAAGTGGCAGAAGTAATTTTAGATGAAGACTGACAGGGGAGCGGAGAAAGCAAAGTAAAACTTTTGTTCAAGTGAAATGACCCCTCCTGGTCAGGTCACTCTCATGCTTGGCCATCCCAACACATCCTTTTGGCCAGGAAATCCCTCTTTGTGCTGCTGTTGAGTATCCTGCTACCCTACATCATACACTCTTGAAAGCATCAATACACTTTTAACATTTGCTGGCATGTTCCATGCTGCACAACTGATGGCTGCTATTATACTTTGAGACTTCTGTAGCTCTTCCTTAAACACAAAACTCCTCCAATCTCTTTTGTCTTGTGGCTGCTCCGCAGAAATGCCTTTGCAGCAAGCATGTAGGATTCAAAGGGAGCCTGTGAAACTCTTAAGTGTCTATAGTCCTCCACAATTTAAGCCACAAGGAACATTATGGCATCTACATAAAACCTGGCTAGTTTTATAGCTAAACTGATTAATTTAATTGTCACCTAGAATGGACCTGAAAACTGAAGGAACCAATTTACCCAGAAAAAAGAAACACAGTCACAGAATCACAGCATAGTTGAGGTTTAAAGGGACCTCTGGAGTTTATCTGGTCCAACCCCATCATTCTTAGAGCAGGCTATCCCTGTCCATGTTCAGATAGTGTCTGAATATCTCCAAGGATGGAGACTCCATCACATCCCTGGGCAACCTGTGCTAGTGCCTGGTCACCCTAACAGTGAAAAAGTGTTTCTAGATGTTCAAAGCAAACTGCCTGTGTTTCAGGGTGTGCCCATCACCTTTAGTCCTGTCACTGAGCACCACTAGAAAGAGCCTGGCTCCATCCTCTGTGCACCCTCCCTGCAGGTATTTATACACATTGATGAGATCCCCCGTGAGCCTCCTCTTCTCCAGGATGAACAGTCCCAGCTCTCTCAGCCTCTCCATCATCTTTATGGCACTTTGCTGGACCCTTTCCAGTAGCTCCATCTACTTTTTTGCACTGGAGAGCTCAGAACTGGACCCAAAACTCCAGGTGTGGCATCATTAGGGCTGAGTAGAGGCAAAGGATCATCCCCCTTGATCTGCTGGCAACACTCCACGTCAATGACATGACACTTTGTCATAACACTTAAAAAAAAAAAAGGCACCAACCTCCCACCCCAAACAAATACACAATATTTTTTAGAAATTCATCACAGAAAAATACTCTGAAAAGATGCTGTCAACATTTGCAGTAATTCCATGCTCTGGTATTCTGTCAGTGCAGAGCACAATTTGGGGATTTTTTTTTGGGGGGGTGGAGGGGTTGGAAAGAGTATAAAGATTTAAATTTTTTTATTTTCCTTTCTGCCACCCCTTCTGATCTATCAGAAAAGATCAAAAGGATTGGCAGGTACTGAGGTTTTGCCTTTTTAACCCTCTCTAATAATCACACAGGTAGATTTTATTTTTTTCCTGGTGCAAAGCTGGATTTTTTCAGCTCTAGTTTCAAATCCAAATGTACATTTGCCATATGAGTAACAACCTATACCGAAATTAATCTCCCCAATGCGTTTTCAGGAGACGTGTACGCTGCCTACCTCAGCATCTCCCCACTCACACGCGACCTCGTGTACCTCCTCATCTCTGCTGTGCCTGTGCCAGAGTTCACTCCTGTAGGTAAGGACACTGCTACTGGGGTGAAAGGACAGCAGTCCCACGTAACCTCAAGCTCAAGGAGGTTTGAAAAACGCAACCGCGATAAAGATCCCCACCAACGAACACACAAGGATCAGCTGAGCAGCACAGTAGAAATCAAGGGCTCCGCCTGTCTGCTCTGGTAAGGACTGAGCTGAGAGAGAATAAGACCGAGAAAAGTAATGTTATTAGAAAAACAGTGCACTAAGAACAAGCATTTAATACTAAAGAGCACTGACATCCTGCTTCTAAAGTAACACTGACGTAGGGTTGGGTTTGGTCTGGGGCATTCCCGTACCACGCTTATTGTCTTTACATCTCAGCGGCTTCGTTTCCCTTTCCCTGCTCCTCGTTTACGTCGACACCGCGTATTAGTCAGCCCTCCAAGGCTGGGCTCCCCCAGGAGGTGACTCAGCGCTCCGCTCTCCGAGACCGCCCCGCTTTCCCTACAAATCCAGGGTAGCCCCTGGGAGCGCAGGAGGAAGAACCGCCGCGCTCCCGCCAGCGCAGCCGTGACGCCCAGAGCCGCCTGCGGGGCACCCGCACCGCCTCCCTCCTTCCTTACCGGGCCGCCGGCCGCCTCCCCGCCCGGCCCCAGCGCCAGCTTCGCCGCGGCCGCGGCCGCCGCCCCGAGCAACCCAGCGGCCGC